AACATAACAGAAATAATATCGATAGCAGCGTCCCTAGCAACCACCTTGGTAACAATGAAAACGTCGCTATTTCCTGAAGTAATCTTCGTAATAATTAGCAAACTAAAGATCATGTACATCCACTGCACACATAATCTGAAATAACAACTCATATTTCTCGCATCAAATGACATCAAAACGCATTTTAATGGCCAAACTAACTTTAAAATAGGCATTTTCCACCGAGAATAAAACGAAGTTCGGCCATGTTTTCTTTTTCTGCAGGGAGAAATTTGAACATCACGTGACATAGACGCCAGCCATTGGAATGAATGGTGAAAAAAAACGGGGTTGTCAAACAGAGCACATGGTGTAGTCCAAACGATAGCTGGGGATTCTGGGTAGTGTAGTGTCTTCTGCCATCCTTTACTCCGAAAAAATATTTGTTTCTCCGAATCGAAGGGGAAAAATACAAAAGCATTGCACACAATTTAAACCAATCAATGTTGTGTAATTAACAAGGATAATCTGGTGTTTTTTAGTCGATGAGTAGTGCAGATATCACTGTAAAATCAATCGACAGTAAGAGGAATACTTACTTCCGGGTGTACAATTCTCCGTTATCCAATGGGAATGGACGCTCACATTGCCTTTAAAGGGATAGTGGAAATCCGCGAATTTTGGGTTTAACTTATGTATTTTTATTAAAAATAAGCATAATAAACAATTTTTTTTAATTTCATGCGCCTAGTTTCATTTTATTTTCAATTTTACTGCGCCCTCTCAATGAAACGAAATACTTCGGGAATCTTCGGGTGATGACGAGAGCATAGGAAGACGGGCACAAACAATGGCGGACATTCAATAGCATTTGCATGTGAATAGCCGAGTATATTGCCATAAATATGATGATTGATTATCAGTAAAAAAATTCTACGTGACACAACGACATTGGATTAACCTTGAGATGCGTTTTTATTCCGTTGAACACAAATTTTGATCACAAATCAAAAAAGGTAAGACGTAATTATTGTAATATTTTTGGAACCGGATGTTGTTTACTTTCTCTTTTCTGGCTGATAGCTATAGGAATTCGAGGTCTTACAGTGATGACATTACATGTGTGGAATCTCAGCTTTAAATCGTATATCTTGTTTGTGCAGTTAAGATAGTAATAAGGGCATTTCTACCGTGTGTTGTGTGTAAAAAAGCGTTAGCATTAGTTAGCATTGTTTCGCTCAATGCTAATTCAAAGGCTTGGTATTACTCTTGTGTTTTTTCTAGCTAACAATTGTTCTTATTGTCAGTTAGCGGAGTTTCTTACCTTTAAAAGGGTATGAAACATTAATAGTTTCATAAATGTTAAGAAGCCCTGAGACATGTGAGAAAAAAAAAAACTGTGGGAGGGGTCCACTGGGGGGACCTTCGGCCTTAACTGGTTAACAATGATTAATATTTGTAAAGGCTACAGGTGATCTTAAGATGCGTGAGCTATGCTTAGGGACCTACCAGTCAAGATTATTTGTGCGTAGGGGTGCATCATCTGGCGCCTGGTCCTGGTCATCCTCGCCATTGCCCATGCCGTGAACCATCACCTCGGGCTCGGGCTCGAACAAATAAGGACGTAATGGTCCATCGTCTGGCTCAATATTGTCACCATCGTCGCTTACTGAACCGGATTCAGATTCAGTTCCTAAAACGACATTTTCGTAGGAAAGCCGAGAGGATGTTTCTGACTCGCTATCATCACTGGATACCTCGTACAATCCTTCTTCTTTGTCTGGTATATTTGCCCTTCCACGTTCATTCTGCATAGACGCCATGGTTTGTTATCGTATCGTCTTCCTGAGTTTTCGTCACTTCCGGTTTGGCTGAGTCGAACATTTCGTTTCTAAAAAACTTCGGGGAAGCTGCAATAAAGTGCTTCTAACATGCGTAAGGCAATTATTATATTTTTTTAATCAGGTGTGATTGTTTTGGTACGTAATTATGCTTGTATATAAGTTAAAACGAAACTATTTGAGGTTCCATTTCCACTATCCCTTTAAGGGCAGCCGACACAAACGAATGCCGTGCTTCCATGAGCGTCAAATCCCGCCGCAGATGGGAATACATTGCAATCAGTTGAAAGCTATTTGCGTCCCTTTATGACGCTGAAGGAGCCTAGGAGCGTCACAACTGGACGCCACGGACACTGACCAAACGTAGCTCCTGGACGCTTAGGGAGTGAGAGTGTGTTGCTGAGGGAGGAGTTAATGATGGTGGCGATGAGTTGGGAGATGGCAGGGAGGCTCTCTTTAACAAATGTGGAGGGCATTGGGTCAAGTGTGCAGGTGGAGTTAATTCCACAGGGGCTGTGAGGTGAAGGGGGGAGCCAGGGGGTGCTGATGAGGGTGTCAGATTGCTGTAAATGTTGGTTGTATCAGCACCTCCTTAGTTAAACACAGCCATCACTCAAACAAACACAGTACACGTTGATCCTGTTCCTTTGCTACTTTTCTGTTCATTGACTTTTAACCTATTTTGCTGTTAAGGAGTCAGGAATCTTTCTTTGAAGAAACGTATTGTAATGAGATTTATTAAACATGCCTCTTAATGGTTTCCGTTACAGTAAGAGCAGAATAGGACATTAAATACAACATGCACACCCAGAGTAAACTCATCAAGGCTTTAAGATTATTTTACTGAGAGCCAATTATTATTAATCAGCACTAAAAACGATTTCAAAAGAAAAACTAAAAACGTTTTTCAACATGTATATGTATTCTACTTTTTTGTATTTGTATTTTATTGCTATTGAGATGTTGACATTTTTAAATGTGTATTTTAAATTGTATTGTACAATGCCATGTATTTTTATGCTGCTGCAACATTTCCCAACTTGGGATCAATAAAGTACTTCTTATCTTATCTTAAGATAAATGAACTCACTGGTTTTTATTGAGCTATTTGTAGATTTTTATTTTGTTTACTGTAAGTCAAAATGGGCCTCATACATTTTAATGTATTTTCTCCTTAATTATTATTTATACCCATCCTAATTTAAAAAGGGCTTTTCAAAATGTTTGCAAAGTACTTTTCTGTAATAAGCAGAAATTCCTTGATGTAAAAAATACATTTGTTTACCAGTGCTTTCAATACTGTAGTTTTATCGGAAAATGTAAAAAAAAGTACTCGTTATACTGTAATATTTCTTGCAACACTCAAATCCAACAGGTAGAGTTTAGAAAAAAAAATACACACACAACGTATTTGTTTAACTCGTGCTTCGGCTCTCTGTCCCGCCCAGTGGTGACTGTTACCCACAGCACCACAGGACACCTTTAATGAATCTCTTCGATGTTTAAATATCCAAAATCCAGTCTTTTTTATTTGTTTATTTTTTCTTCCAAGATAAATTAGCATCGGTCCTTTGTTTGTGAAATTGTTGACTTATTAAACGGTTTGTGTAAATGTGTCATCAGATAAAAAAACATCTTGTCAGTTGTGTGAAGGAATGAGGAAATAAAAGTATTGTTCAGTTCCACAATCCAATAAGTCTAATAATGTATTTGTTCTGTAAGAAACCAGCACCATAGAAAATATTTACCCATATAAAATACATACAGTGAACATATACAAATACGAGACGACAGAAGACACCGCTGATGAATACAGAAACACAGTAATACATCAAGAAGTGACATGAAATACAGCAAACCTGAAGGAGTCAGGTTAAAGTGCATCGGTCAACATTGTCTTAACTGGATTTAAAAAAGACACCCAGGAACATTTAACAACAGTTTGACATAATTCCTGTGTTTCTCCTGTTAAAAAAACCCACAAAAAGGCACATTATAGACTTAAAGAGTCCTAAAAAAGTTATCCCTGAAACACCAGAACTAAAGAAATGAACAGACACCGTGTTTCAGAAACACACGTTGAAGACTTAAATATAAATGTGCTTCACAACATAGATAAAGAAGTCATTATCATAATGGTATAGCAGCATCTCCACTGTACTGTATCTGACATAATTGGCAGCGAGGTCAGATGTTGCATTTCTTTTCCGGATGCCTTGGCAAAAAGTGTTTTTATAAAACGAGCCTCAGCTTTAGGTAGTAAAAAAAGAGGAAGTTATAACTCCTACTGTAGATTTGAAAATGTAGTGGTAACATCCATAAAGACAGCTTTTTGGCCCTGAAGTTTTCTCTCAACACAATATCAGAACATTCAAAAGTAAAGCGGTCATAATCACGTAACATTTCTACACACAGGGTCTTCACTTTCTTTAAGCTAAACCCAAACGTTTGATGAATCGGTGTTTAAGCGAACCCAGAACAGTTCACTACATTTCCAGTGATTAAATGATGGGATCAGACTTTTGTCCCAGTCGACCTTAACACTACATGCGTAAATCACATTAATGTTGACATGCCCAAATGTACTTTGAGACAAGCTGCACGTTCAGCTGAAGCTAATGTTGGCTTTCCTTTAGGACGTTTACAACATTTCAACGTAATTGTTATTAATTCTATCAGCTTTATTCCTACGTTTTCTGAGAAGAATTTGGTCTTACATTTGAAATAACCGGTCGAGGTTTTACAAAGAAATGACACCATGTTCTCCTGCAATATTAACGGGGAACTGGAGAGAGAGAAATCCTAGATTTAAAGACATACTTAGGTCAGGTTTTCCCTTTCTTTACTTTAAAAACTCCTAAATCTTACAAACCTGAAGCTTGATAGCTGAGCCAGCATGACTCCATGATTCATTGATGTTTCACTTTTTGGCAGGAAAACTTGTCTTTGGCGATTGAACCCAAACTGAACCTTTAAACCACTTGATCCCATGACTGAAACCTTTGTTATACTATATCTAGTCTTCTGGAACATCACTTTTTTCTTTAGATGTCATGATATTTTAGGAACAGGAACACATTTAGCATTTTCCCATTATCATTCTAAACTAATATTTTGGCACAAGTGGTTTTATATGATAATGTGCGTATTAATATAAAATAAATGCCACAGGTAAACTATTTAGATATTGAGCCCGTCCTCCAGCATCGCTTTGGATTGAGGTCTGGACCCTCTGTGCCCTCTCGCTCTCTCACTCGCTCTCTCACTTCCTTTCTCACTTCCTCTCCTCGTTCCCTCCCCCCCCTCCTCACCTCCTGCTCTCTCAAACCTCTTCACTCGTTCCTCATCGTGAGGAGTCTCCTTCCCTCCTCTCCTCTCCTCCCTGCTGCCCCCTCCCTCCGTCCTCGACGCCCCTTCCTGACTTCTATGCGACTCCTTCCTCACGTTTCCATGTTCCTCCCTTCTCGTCCCTCTCTCAGACTCCCCTCCTTCTCTCCCTTTTGCCGCCTCAGCCCTCCAGTCCTTCCCTCCTCTCTCCTCCTCCCCCCTCCTCCTCCAGCTCTCCGACCTCTCGCTCTGTTTCCTCTCCTTATCGATGTCTAAAGTTTCGTGTTTGCTTCCTCTCTCGCTCTTGTGGGATCGATCTTTGTCGCTCCTCCCACTCTCCCCCGTCTCTCTGCTGCTCCTTTTACTCTCTCTCTCTGGGTTTACCCTCTCAGAGTATTTTGAATCACCTGATCTGCCCTTCATCTCCTCTTGTTCTTTCCCAGCTTTATTTTTCTCCTCCGTCTTTTTATTCGCACTTTTGTCCTCTTTGGTCTGATCTCGCTTGCTCTCGTGCTTTTCTTTACCGGCTGTGATTCGGTTCTCCACTTCTTTGTCTTTCTTCTTTCCTTTCTGTGATTGTTCTTTCAAAACCTCCTCTTTAGTCGCTTTGACGCTCTCCAGTTTCTGCTCTTTTGCCTCCGCAGACATCTTCTCCATCTTGCTTTCTCCGTCACCTTTTCCCTTCGTACTCTCCTTCTCCGTCATGGCATCCCTTTTTCTCATTTCCTCCTCTATTTCCTCTTTGTTCTTAAGTCCCTCTCCTTTTGCGTTCACACTCTTCTCCTCCTTTTTCTCCTTGTTCACACTTGCCTTCTCCACCTCTTTAATCTTCTTCTGCTCCTCCACCTTCTTGTCCATTTTCTCCTCCATGAGGTCCAGCTCCTGCTCCAGCTCCGCCAGCTTCTTGGGATCAGACTCTAAATCGTCGTCCACCTCTTCCTCCACCTCCACGATCTCCTCGAACTCCTCCACCTCGATGCCGTCCATGGTTTTCTGCAGCTGCGTCTTCACCTTGTTCAGATCCAGGAGGCCATCTTGTAGTTCTTTGCACACGTCCCTGATTTTGGTGGCAAATTTAGTTTTGGCGCCCTTGCGGAGCTCGTGAGAGTCTTTGGCGAGGAAGAAGACGTCCAGAGCGAGGAAGAGACCCGACATGACGCCCGTGGTGACGCTGATGGCCTGCGCAGCTTTAGCGGCTCCGCCTGCCACTCCCAGAACCTGCACGGTGCTGATGAGTTTATCCGTGTTGATCATCAGGGCCTTCCCTGCGCGGCCGCCCTCCTTCATCACGTGCTTCAGGTTGTGGTTCATCGCCTTCTTCGCAGCGCTCTGGGAGTATTTCTCAAAGTCCCACTCCTGCAGGGTGGCCATACCGGCCTACGAAGCGACACAGACAAGAAAGGAAAGTGAGAACCGTGTCAGAAAGTATATTATTCAAAAAATAAATTTTAAGAGACACTACGAAGGTTGAAGTTCTTTCTGTGATTTTTAAGAGCTATTGCTCACTGGCTTCACACCACTTTTTTCTTAGAATTCACCATGAATACATACAAAAACTTGGGTTAAAGTTACTCTCATTTCAAGTATCTGGTGTTAAAACTACAGGATGACAAAAGTAATTATCCCGAATGAAAGAACCAGATTTTGGCATGAATTTCTGGGGGAAATAGTGCATGTGATCCGGAGAAAACATCCTTAGACAAAACAACGTAGAGTGTGTGTCTCTTCTCTCATATGTAGTGTTGGCAACGGCTAATAATCTTATGCCTACAACACTTTATTTGGTTAATAACCTTTTCAGTATGTTACACAAAGCCACCATCACTCACATTTTAATCTTTAACTTATTTCCATAACTATTGTAATGTGAAATGAATCTACCGTCTAACTAAACTATCTTCATGTGTAGTTCATTAACAAAGCTAACACACCTGTTGGTATAACGTTCCTTAAACTCTTCTCATGTTAAACTCACAAGTACTTAAAGTCTTGTATATAAAACATTTTTTAGGCTTTTATAGATGTTGATACTTGGGAGTCTTTTTACATAAAGACATACACATTAAAGAGATGACAGTGCTATGACCCTTGCTGCACCAGATTTATTCTCTGACAACCAGAGAAGAAGACTTGAAGGACTTACAAACCACTAAATGTCCTCACCTGCACGAACTCCATGCACTCCCTGATGTCCTTTATCTCCTCCTGGTATCCCTGGATCATTTTCTCCAGATTCTTCCGGTCCATGTTGGAGTGAACTGTGTCCGTGATGTTGGCTGTTGCCGAGGTGATGCTGCCGGCCGTCGCCACGGCGATCCCCACCGCCGTCACGATAATAGAGGCGCCCATAGTGAAAGGAGCCAGGATGAGGCCAGTGATTGTTGCGATGCTGCCCGCCACACTGGCCACGCCCCCCCCCACCGCAGCCTGCACCGTCTTCTTGTGGAATTCATCCGCAGCGTCGGCCAGAGCCATCAGCTCCAGGATTCGATGCTGTAAGGACGCCCCTCGCTTGTTGAAAAGACGCACGAACAGACGGGCGGCCATGTAGACTCGATCTGCCGCCTGCTCCATCATCCTGCACAGAGACATGAGGGAGGCTTGAAACTAAAAGGTATGCTGCACCAGGTGAAGGTACATTTAGAAGCTTGTATGTCTAAGACAGGGGGGGGGTTTCACCGAGGGCCACATAGAGAAAGATATACGAAGGGCTGGGCCACTCACTAGAGGTGGGGTATATTGCCTCGTAAGTTAAGTTATAAATTAGCACAATGTAGGTAAATTAGGCTCGATACATGAAGCTTTAAGAAAACAACAGCCTCACAGCTCTCCAGAGGGTTTCATTTATCTTGTTGGCAACTCATCCCTTAAAACAGGAGCCTCAGAGTGATTATAATAAGGGGAAATATGAAGGGTCTATTTCAAACTGGTTATGTAAAAAAGTGAATGGGCTTTTTCTTATCAACTAAGATTTGTTAGAAAATGTTTCCAACTTGAATTGACTGAATCTTTTTAAAAAGTGGTCTTATTAACACATGAATACTACTGTGTAATATATTTTTACTTTATATTTAAGATGTACAATATAAGAAAAGCACAAGTTTAATTTGTGGGCCATATTCCATTTAGGGCTGAACGATGAATCAATTTTAAATCAAAATTTGAAATGATGCAATTATAAAATCGCAAAGCCTGCGATTTCTTTTAGTTTTTTTAATTTAGTTTTTTCTTCTTGTGTATCAGTCGTCCACACCAATCAGAAGTGCAGTGCTCCACATGTACCAGTCATTGTTAACCAATCAGAATTGGCCCATGATAGAAGGTGATAGACAGATTGATCCAATCACCTGCCAAGTATTTTTGAAAGTGCCTGCCCTTTTCCAAATGGCTTCCAATGGAGCTTTCCTCGATGCTTTGGTGAAACAAACCATCTGAGTCAGGTTAGTAATGCTCCATCACATGTTTTACATCTACATCACTCCCGTCCTCCAGAACCTCCACTGGCTCCCCGTCCGTCAAAGAATCAACTTCAAAGTCCTCCTCATTACTCACAAAGCCCTCAACAATCAGGCCCCCCCCCTACCTCACAGACCTGCTGCACTACCACACCCCTTCCCGCTGCCTCCGCTCATCAGAAGCCAACCTCCTATCCATCCCCACCCGCATCAATCACCGGACCTGGGGGGACAGAGCCTTCTCCGTCGCTGCCCCCTCCCTCTGGAACTCACTCCCCCAACCCATCAGAGACCGCACTGACCTCACCACCTTCAAAACACTCACCTCTTCAATCTGGCTTTTAATGTGTGATTGTTTTTGTATTATTTGACTTTAACTTTAACTATATATATGTATTTGTTGTTCTTTTCACTATATCTGTAAAGCGTCTTTGAGCACCTGTAAAAGCACTAACAAAATAAATCTATTATTATTATTATTATTATTACTACAGGGTGAAACTTAAACTGAAGCTTGACTTTAAAGCAACCCAACGGAGGTTTCATGTAAGTTTAGTTCGTTCACTCGTAGCTCGGGCTGCGGGGGTGCTAGAGACGGGAGCATGTTGATGCGACCTTCCTAGCCGGAGATATGGCCGCATTTTACAATAAACTTCCGTTGGGTCGCTTAAAAACAAATATCGCAAATTGAATCGCAATATCTGTCAGAAAATTATTTCCCCAAATCGTGCAGCCCTACTTACATTATACTTTTTGAATTTGCTGAGGGCCGATTAAAAATGGTCCGCGGGTCGCATTTGGCCCCCGGACCGCAGTTTGGACACCCATGAACTAAAAGTATGGTGCACTAGTTACATTTAGAAGCTTTTATGTCTAAGAAATGGCATTTTCCTATGTGAAGGTGTCCAAAGGGAAATGTGCAGGTGGTCAAAGATAAATATGTACTACACCAAACTTTGACAAATATTGGACAATAATGATTCATTCAACCCTACTTCTAAAGAAAGCCCTTTATTAACAATTTCATAATCATACCAGCTAAAATAATTAAAGTATGCACCAGAGCACCAAGTCAAATTCCTCGTACGTATCAACCTACCTGGCAATAAACCTGATTCTGATTCTGTAAACCAGCTGGACAATGTGACATAGAATTATTCATTATCATTCCCTTTCTTTTAACCCAGCAGAGCATAACAATAATTCCTCATTCAAAACATGTTTTGATCAACTCAACCTGCACCTGGAGAGCAGCAGACAATTGATGATGCGTTCATGTTGGTTAGTTCGGGTTCATTCATCTGTTCTTAGTTAGTTCAAGCTGTCCCTTGACTTTTATGAGTCATTGAGCTTCCTGGCAATAGTGACAGTGCTTTCTATAGATGTGATAGATATCATTAGAAATAATATCTTCTGGGTAAATGTGAATGAAAATGTCCCAAAAATGTGCTTACATTTCCTCATCTTCCTCCTGTAAGTTAGAGTTCTCGTTCCACTCTGCCCAACCTGTGAGCCACAGCAGAGACATATCAGTTAGTACATGGAGAAAATACATGACACCGGTTTTTGTTACTGATTTTCAGTGCTGATTCTCTAATCTTATTTTTAATGACTTAATAATAATGCAACATTCTTTTTGTGTAAACAGGAATCAGTGGTTTTCTCTCGTTGACTCGCAAAACAAACAGAAACCAAAGTACTGAACATTACACTGACCTTTTACTGTGTTCCACCATTGCGTCAATTCATCACTTTCCTGAAAAAAGAGACAATTGTCAACGAAAACAAATCACAGATGCACTTTTTTTTGCCGGTCAAAATGTACACATGTGCCGATGATAGTTTTTTATTGCACAGAATTTGGTATCTCTATTTGTGGCACCATACATAAATATACACATTAAAGTAAAGTAAAGATTATGCTAAATAAAAGGCCAGACCGAATAAACCAAACCAAAAGGAGAGAAAGATTCTGAAACACACCAGCTCAGTTCCCAGAGGGTTTTCTCCAGTGGGATAAGCTGCCATCTCCACATTCTGCACGTCCACAGTGCTGTCCTATACAAAACAAACACACACTTTCACAAAACTCAGTTGAAAGGGTTTGTCTGTTAATACTCTCTCCAACATCCCCTCCTTTTGTCTGTTAGCATCCTACAGACTCTTTTTAATAATATCATCATGCTAACCTGTGCTGGGTTCAGATCCTGCATCTCAACAACTTCCTGAATATCAGCCATCTTGTCTGAACCCTGTGGAGGAAAAACTCTGTCAAATTGAACAACTTGAACACACCTCATGGACTGATCCACGGAAAATGTGTAAGTTATCAAAAACAGCTTTAACAAGAATTGAAATGGTCAGAAAAAGATTCGTAAATGGAAAACATTTCCAACATGTTTCTTTATTGCACAAAGTTTCAGATCTGTCTTTGGTGAATATTCCATATTTCATACTAGGGCTGCACGATATTGGAAAAAACTGACATTGCAATATTTCCCCCCCCTGCGATATATATTGCGATATGAAAAAATACAGGAATTGAAGAAAAGACAGTTTTTTTATTTTCCGCAAACCATCCTTTCTTGAACTTTAATGCTATACAATTGGTATTTTTTTTAACTATATTTAACCGGATGAAGGATTTTAGTCACGGACGTCTGAATCTTGAGTTATCAGAGCAACAAGCTGAGCTAGCTCGGTTAGCAGCGCTGAACTGCCCTGGAGAAACGCATGAAACTACTTTTACCTTTAAGTCACTCACTCAAGTACCCCTGACATGAGAGCCGCGCGAGTTTTCCTTTTGTAGCAAGCAGAAAAATAATTGTAACATGACGTGTTTGAGTTAATTTGCCTACTTAATATCGCACGTCCTAAAGAAAAAAGTAAATAAATAAAATCACACAACCTGCGATGTGAATATCTCGCATGCGCATATCGCGATTATCGTCACGACACGATATATCGTGCAGCCCTATTTCATACAGTCTATTGTCATAACTGAGGAATAACTAGAACACATACCTGTAAATTCAACTTTGACATTTTGGGACGAGTTGTCTTGACTCTGAATGAGACAACCTGAGAAACAAAACAAGAAAAGAAAAGAAGTTTTGTTAATGAGAAAATGCATTTCAACATCAAAATTAAGAGCAAACTGGAAGAGCAAGATAAAAGTAATCTCTTCATGATATAAAATCTAAACCACTGAGAAGAATAGCTGCTAACACCCCTGAGGCTTTCTGTCACAGCTACAGAATGGATGTAATAATAATAATAGATTTCTGTTTTGCTGAACAATTGAACAACAACTCACTCTTTTTTTCTTCTTGATGGTTTTCCTGCGCCTCAGCCCGATGCCTCCTGTCGGTGCCTCCAAGTCCTCACTGTCCTGCAAATGAACACAGAGATATCCAGACATGTACATTTAACCAAGTATTGTATTTAAGTACACATTTGAGATCCTTTATAATTAAACAGAATATAATAAATAAATGTATTTGATGCCGATCAGTGCCGATAATGTCGTACCTGTTGTTCAATTGTTTTGGGCGTCCTCCTGAATATTCCAGCGAACCCTCCTTTTTTCTCCTGTTACAAAAATAAAACATGAATTTCATTTAAAAAAGTCTTAAATATTGAAATACAATCAACCTGTATAACAACAATACATCAAGACTCACCTTTGTGGTTTCAATAAGATTATCGTTACTGTTGGACAATTCACCGAGTGCTGAAAGATCGTCCTTTAAAGTAAAAATAAACAACAACAAAAAGTCAATATCACTCAAACTTTTGTGTGGAAACCATTTCTGAGAAGAAACCAAAGTGGCTCATCATTTGTTGTCTGCGTTTTAATTCTTACTCATTGGTTCTATCTCTTGTGGTTATTATTTTAGACATTTGAATGTATTTTTCTTATAATTACATTGCTGAAACTTTTAATCCTGCAAAATGTTATAATTTGTTTTGAATGATCTCGTCTGTGTTGTTTTAATCTTGCTCTCGTCCACAGACATTGGGACTCTCACCTCTCCGTATCCTGGCAGGCTGTCGCAGCTGCCGTAAAGATCGCTTGTGTCTTTGAGAGGGTCCTGAAAAACAAAAAGTTTTAGCTTTCTGGAAGTTATTTACCTCAATCATTTATCCCCAAAATGTTTAATAACATATTTTACAGTAAGGCTTTCACACATTTCTCTGCATGATTGTTGGGGCAAATAATCACCATTAAAATATTATAGCGATAAACATAATTTAAAATATATATATAATTAATACTATACTTCTTAACTAGTTATTTTGTGTATTTATTATCTCTTTTTGTCAAATATATTACGCTCAAAATATGAACATAGGGAAGAGAAGAGAGAGTCTGTAACGCTGGAGTTCACATGATATGACCATATTTATATTATTGAAATAAATGCTATTTCATTGTTTTAAAATATCACAGTAATTGTGAATACCGGCAAAACAAGACCTGTTTTTTCACAGACCGCTAAACAACCACAAATGATGCACATCACCACATATTAAATAAAACATGTTTGTTAGGTTACCTTCTCAGCGACTACGCGTGGAGACAGTTTTGGAGGCTTCTTGAAGATCCCTGCCAGTCCTCCTGTCTTCTCCTGAAACATATGAAATACTCTCATGTTATTAATATTTAAATAATAATTAACAGAAGAACAAAGAAAACAGAAGATGTGAGACAACTTGTGTACCTTTGCTTTGTTTGCTTCTAAGAGATTTTCACAACTGTCCGATAACTTCGTATCCTCGTTTAATTCCTGAACGCACACAACCGGAAAGTGAATAAAACAAAAAGTCAAATGTTGTGATAAATATTGATATGTATGTGCAGGTAGAGCCACTGCTGTACCTCGTCTGTTGTCGTCCCCTCTGATGGTTTAGGAGTCTTTTTAAACATGCCACTGAAAATAGTTTTCTCCTGAAAACAGAAAAACACTGAGTAAGTGAACATTTCAATTTCATCAGTACTTTGTCAAAGTTAAGATGAACAAGAATAGACAGTAATAGCAGAGTAAAACTAGCATTTCTTAAGCTCAACCTGATTACAAAATAAACGTATTCATCCAAACTAGCTAATAAATATTCTAGTATTTTCTAATTGACATGGGAAACTGCATGTTGTAGTGCAATTCAATAATCGATTTAAATATTTTATAGTGGGGACATTTCTTTTTTTGTTCACAGTACCTTTGTGTTGTTGTTTTCAAACAGACTGTCATTACTCGCGGACAGCTCCTTCTGGTCGTCCTTGTCCTAGGTAGAGAGGAATGGACAGTTTATAATGTTTATTTCTTGTGTCTTCATTTCTTTTATGTACATTGCCTTGCGTTTTTTATGCTGCTTTAACGCAAACATTTCCCAAATGTGGATAATTAAAGTACCCATCTATCTATCTACCTACCTGCCCACCTATCTATCTACCCACCTATCTATCTACCCACCTATCTACCTATCTATCTAACTATCTATCTATCTATCTATCTACCCACCTATCTATCTACCTATCTACCCACCTATCTATCTACCTATCTATCTATCTATCTATCTATCTACCCACCTATCTATCTATCTATCTACCCACCTATCTATCTACCTATCTATCTACCCACCTATCTATCTATCTACCTACCTACCCACCTATCTATCTACCCACCTATCTATCTACCCACCTATCTATCTATCTATCTATCTACTTACCTATCTATCTTACTACTTACCTATCTATCTACTTACCCATCTATCTATCTATCTATCTATCTACCCACCTATCTATCTATCTACTTACCTATCTATCTATCTACCTACCTACCCACCTATCTATCTACCCACCTATCTATCTACCCACCTATCTATCTATCTACTTACCTATCTATCTTACTACTTACCTATCTACCTACCTACCCACCTATCTATCTATCTATCTACCTATCTATCTACCCACCTATCTATCTACTTACCTATCTATCTATCTATCTATCTATCTATCTATCTATCTATCTACCTACCTACCCATCTATCTACCCACCTATCTATCTATCTACCCACCTATCTATCTACTTACCTATCTATCTTACTACTTACCTATCTATCTACTTACCCATCTATCTATCTATCTATCTATCTACCCACCTATCTATCTACCCACCTATCTATCTATCTATCTACTTACCTATCTATCTATCTACCTACCTACCCACCTATCTATCTACCCACCTATCTATCTACCCACCTATCTATCTATCTACTTACCTATCTATCTTACTACCTACCTATCTACCTACCTACCCACCTATCTATCTACCCACCTATCTATTTATCTATCTATCTACCCACCTATCTATCTATCTATCTACTTACCTATCTATCTATCTACCCACCTATCTATCTACCCCTATCTATCTACCCACCTATCTATCTATCTACTTACCTATCTATCTATCTACCTACCTACCCACCTATCTATCTACCCACCTATCTATCTACCCACCTATCTATCTATCTACTTACCTATCTATCTTACTACTTACCTATCTACCTACCTACCCACCTATCTATCTACCCACCCACCTATCTATCTACCCACCTATCTATTTATCTATCTATCTACCCACCTATCTATCTATCTATCTACTTACCTATCTATCTATCTACCCACCTATCTATCTACCCACCTATCTATCTACCCACCTATCTATCTATCTACTTACCTATCTATCTATCTACCTACCTACCCACCTATCTATCTACCCACCTATCTATCTACCCACCTATCTATCTATCTACTTACCTATCTATCTTACTACCTACCTACCTACCTACCTACCTACCTACCTACCTACAATAGGTATAATAACAGTGTGTACAGAAGGTGATGCTAACAGAGTAACTCTCACCTCTGCTGTCGCCCCGTCTCCAGACGCTTTGGGGGTTTTCTTAAGAAGACCACCGAACAGCCCGCCTTTCTCCTGACGAGTGAAAACAGGATTGATTAATGTGATTGCCAACCATGTTTCGAAGCATACAGTTTACTTTTTTTTCTTCTTTTTTCGACAGTGGAAGAAGTATGGAGGAATTGTACTAAAGTAAAAGTAGTAAAAGAATAGAATATATCTTTATTGTCATCATACAAAGTACAACGACATTTCTTTGGCAACTCTCAATGCAGTAAAACAGGTTAAGTATACAAGTATTTAGTTACAGGGAATGTTACTGCATTCAAAATCTTATTAAAAGTAAAGCGCTGACCTCGTCAAACAGGTTGTCGATGCTCCCTGATCTTTTGAAGATGCCAGCCAGGCCTCCTTTTTTCTCCTAAAACATAGATACACATACAAAATAAAAGTCTCATGCAGTCAACACATTTGCTCTGGTTTCATTTAATGTTGAATTGTTTGTTTTTTCAGGATGAAGTACCTTTGGGGCGGGGGTGTCCTCCAGATTCTCACAGTTACCAGATAACAGTTTTTCTGTGTTCACCTCCAGCTCCTGAATTCAAACCAGAAAACTGTGAATTAAATATCTATCTTGTCCTTCACAGTAAATGTAATGACTGAATGAATCCAATCACAGTACCTTGTCTGCTGCAGCGCCCTCTGCAGGTTTCTGCGGCTTTTTAAACATGTTGCTAAAAATATTTTTGTCCTAAAACACACAATAGCTTTTCAATAAACGCGTTTTATTTAATGTATGTAGACATTATTTTAAGCTTCTGTCGCATTACACTGCTCACCTTAGGTGTGTTATTCTCAGACAGGTCATCATTGCTCGCTGACAGCTCTTTCTCAGCCTCTCCTTCCTGAAACACAGACATTGATGTTTTATGAAAACTGAATATTTTGGAGGTTCAAAAATGTATTTCACATTCAGTAAACACTCACCAGAGTCTCTGCCTTCACTCCGGACGCTTTGGGAGTCTTTTTAAGGAGAACGCCGAACAACTTTCCACCTTTCTCCTGATGAAACGTACAAGAAAAATGTGTTGAAGTCAATAAAGTATTTCCAATAACACGTGGAAATGGGTTAAAATCATTGCCATATGTCACTGTAGCTACTGTGCACATGATAATAAAGCCTTGAATCTTGAATATCAATATTGATGTAGATTTGTAACTCTGACCTGTTTGTTCCCAGATAAATTCTCAGTGCTGGCGGAGAGATCGCTGTCGAGCAACTCGTCCTGTAAAGGGTTTTCAAAAAGTCAGCACACACAAAAAAAATAGAGGAATACTAAATAAAAATACATTTTAATTTGTCCATCCTGCTTGAAAGGACATTTCATAACTGAATAATCAAACCACTATACCTTGTCTGCTGCAGCGCCCTCTGCAGGTTTCTGTGGCTTCTTAAACATGTTGCTGAAAATATTTTTCTCCTAAAACATAAGATTGGTCGTCATTAAACGCTCACATGAAGACATTTGATTTACATGTTTACGTCGCATTACACTGCTCACCTTAGGTGTGTTATTCTCAGACAGGTCATCATTGCTCGCTGACAGCTCTTTCTCAGCCTCTCCTCCCTGAAACACAGACATTGATGTTTTATGAAAACGGTGAATCTTTTCGAGGTTCAAAAATGTATTTCACATTCAGTAAACACTCACCAGAGTCTCTGCCTTCACTCCGGACGCTTTGGGAGTCTTTTTAAGGAGAACGCCGAACAACTTTCCACCTTTCTCCTGATGAAACGTAAAGAAAAATGTGTTGAAGTTAATTAAGTAAACTTTCATTTAGTTAAACATGTCAATATTGATGTTGATTTGTAACTCTCTGACCTGTTTGTTCCCAGATAAATTCTCAGTGCTGGCGGAGAGATCGCTGTCAGGAGACTCGTCCTGTAAAGGGTTTTCAAAAAGTCTGCAAATTAATAAAATATGGGAATACTAAATAAAAGTTGCCTTAATTATTGTTTTTTACAGATAATGAATAATTTCCCATTTTACAAAATATTTCTGTTTGTATTACTTAAATTAATTAAAAAAATAGAATACTTCTGAACAAATACACACATACTTTTGGAGAATAATGGGAAACATTTGCCAGATTTTAATGTAAAAAGAGAAACAAAATGTATCATTCTAAGACAGAAAAATAATTACTGCATTTTTAACAGAAATGTATCATGAGTTCATTCTTAGTGTGTCATTTAGGTCACCAAACAATATTAAAGTGATCATAAAAGACTTCCAAGCATGCCTCCATAATTCTAAATACAAAATATGAAGTTAAAGTGTTTATTTCATTAAAACATTTAACACATTTTACCTCCTCAGGTTGAGCAGCTTCTGCAGATTTAGGAGTTTTCTTGAATATTCCACTAAATATTCCTCCTTTTTCCTGAAACATACAGTTAAAAAGTGAGTGCTCTCTCCTTAAGTTATTCAGGACTGTTTTTAAATGATGCATACATATTGTTACCTTAGTGTTGAGAGCTTCACTGCTGCCTGTGAGTTCATCGTCTGACTCTGTTACCTGAGAAACAAAATCAAACACAACATTAAAAGCTGTTACACTTTCTGACATTTTTACATTATACTTCTAACAGTGATCTTTTACAGCTAACAGGAACAGCACTATATTAAAAAGGGACGCCTGAATGGGTTCATAAATCAGAGACGTCTTACCTCCTCTGCAGCAGCACTGTCTTCAAGTGTGGACGACCTCTTGAACAATCCACTGAAACCTCCTTTCACCTGAAACACACAAGACATTTGTATATAAACTTTATGCATTACCCGTTCCACACATAGAACATATGAATCGCTTACAAAAATCCTTACATATAACTCCAATAAGGACATGTTTTAGAAAAAAATTAAATTGTACATTTATACAGTTCTTCTTCTTATCGTGTCCACAAGGCAGTCAGTTACAGGGCTTGGTTAGATGTGGTTCAGCCACAGCTGAACACATTGCTGTCCCTTCTCATTCAACTCTGCTAAATCTGATGTTGTGCAGGGTTGCTCCAGCAGGGGGCATATCAGGAGATGTTGCATGGTTTGTGGTTCAATGCCGCAGTCACACACAACGTCCCCGTCATTTAGGTATCCCCATTTGGCGAGAGTGGCTTTTGCACGTCCAACACCAGATCTTATTCTGTTTAGGCATTTCCACACTGCGTAGTTGGTGTCTGCTCCAGGGGGCAGTGCCTCGCTCGCCTTTAGCTCCATTGTTGTTGCTGATGGGAGGTTGTCAAGTCTTTCTTCCCACCGAGTGACTCTTTCACTGCTTATGCTCGGTGTTCCGAGGGGTGGGACGCTCTTCAGGAAACTTTTCCTGGATTTAAGGCGGCTTTTGGCTGGCACAAGGCCAAGGAGAGGATGTCTTTGGTCAGTAGACTGTTGTTGGCGCTCTTTCTTGCTTGCTGCATTTCGTCGTATCTCTGGTGGGGCTATGCCTGCCAGGATGTACAGACGGTCTGTAGGTGTTGATTTCAGGCAGCCTGTGATAATGCGGCAGCTAGCATTGAGGGCGGGATCCAGCTTCTTGGCATGGGCAGCTCGTTCCCATACTGGGCAGGCATACTCGGCAGCTGAGTAGCAGAGGGCTAGTGCGGTTGACTTGAGAGTCTGTGGGTTTGCACCCCAGGTCGTGCCGGTGAGCTTGCGGATTATGTTATTCCTCGCACTCACTTTGCACTTGGTCTTCTCAGTGTGGGTCTTTTATTTATTTATACAGTAAACAACATAAAAATAAACAAGAAATAAAAACAACAAATTAAATACATTGTTGTCCAGTAATATTCAGTAATACGATAAGATGCACTCTTGGTCAATGTATTTTCTTAATATTTGTAGATACTTTTGATATTTTTGTAAACTCGTACTGTAAATACATCTTAACTGGACTGTCTGTGTTCTTGTGTGATTTCCCCTTTAGCATGTTTTTGTTGTATTTATGTTGTAACAATGTCTTAAGTCCCAGTGGCGAACCGTGTCTATCACAACTGGACCTTCTGTAGACACACACACACCCGCCGCTGCCCCCCCCCCCCCCTCCGCGGCATTATAATGTCCATCTTTTCACTGAATTGTCGGCTTGAAAAGGGCAAGGCAAGTTTATTTATATAGCACTTTTCAACACAAGGCAATTCAAAGTGCTTTACAAAAAATGAAAGACATTAAGAAAAAGGCATTTAAAATCAGTCATTAAAAAGAAAAGCTAATAAAATAAACATTAAAAGAAAAAATACATGGATAAAAGTTACAGTGCAGTCTAAGATATGAATAGTTCAATTAAAAGCAGTGACAGTGCAACTCTGACTACTTTTAAATATCCAAATATCTGGAACAAACTCCCAGAAACCTGCAGGTCGCAGGTTTCTGGGAGTTTGTTCCAGATATTTGGAGCATAATAACTGAACGCTGCTTCTCCATGTTTAGTTCTGACTCTGGGGACAGAAAGCTGACCAGTCCCTGAAGACCTGAGAGATCTGGATGGTTCATAATTTAGCAGGAGGTCAGAAATGTATTTTGGGCCTAAACCATTCAGTGCTTTATAAACCAGCAGCAGTATTTTGAAATCTATTCTTTGACACACAGGAAGCCAGTGTAAAGACTTCAGATCAGGAGTGATGTGATCCACTTTCTTAGTGTTAGTGAGGACTCGAGCAGCGGCGTTCTGAATCAGCTGCAGCTTCCTAATATATTTTTTAGTGAGACCTGTGAAGACACCATTACAGTAGTCGAGTCTACTGAAGATAAAAGCATGGACAAGTTTTTCCAAATCCTGCTGTGACATTAGTCTTTTAATCCTAGATATATTCTTTAGGTGATAGTAGGCTGATTTACTCACAACAATTCCGCAAAAAACTTCCTCTTCACCTGTTGCACTTGTCATTTCAACGTTAAAAACAATAAAACGGCATGAATTGCTTCGTCGCATTAATCTAGATCAGGGGGTCACCAACCTTTTTTAGGTTTACTGTCAAGCGACTTTGTTACCCACTTTGAAAAAAAGGTTAATGATATTCGCTCTTCTTTTTCTGACTCACCTTTACTCACCGCTGGGTCACCAGACCCTCCTTCCACCAACACACTAACCTCCTTTTCCCCTCTCTCTCCAAGTGAGGTTCTTACCCTCATTACCTCTGCCCGCCCTACCACCTGTCCTCTGGACCCTATCCCTTCAAACCTCCTTCAGACTATCGCTCCTGATATTCTACCGTTTCTCACCCATTTCATCAACACTTCTCTAACTTCTGGTCACTTTCCAAACAGTCTCAAGGAGGCAAGAGTAAACCCTCTCCTAAAGAAACCCACTCTCAACCCGTCAGATGTTATAAACTACAGGCCTGTCTCTCTCCTCCCGTTCCTGTCTAAATCACTTGAACGCGCTGTCTTTAAACAACTCTCCTGTTATCTCAATCAGAACAACCTTCTGGATCCGCACCAGTCTGGTTTCAAGGCAGGTCACTCCACAGAAACTGCTCTCATTGCTGTCACGGAGGAACTGCACACTGCCAAAACTGCATCCCTCTCCTCTGTCATCATCCTGTTGGACCTGTCTGCTGCATTCGACACGGTGAATCATTAGATCCTCCTTCGCACTCTCCAAAAACTTGGAGTTTCAGGCTCTGCTCTTTCCCTACTCACCTCATACCTCAAAGACCGTACCTACAGGGTTACTTGGAGAGGGTCCGAGTCCGACCCTTGTCAATTAACTACGGGGGTCCCTCAGGGCTCTGTTCTTGGTCCCCTCCTCTTCTCCTTGTACACAAACTCGCTCGGATCAGTCATTAGCCCGCATGGTTTTTCTTACCACTGCTACGCTGACGACACCCAATTAATTCTGTCCTTTCCCCGCTCAGAGACCCAGGTCGTCGCACGCATCTCTGCTTGTCTAGCTGACATCTCTCAGTGGATGTCTGCTCACCACCTCAAGCTCAACCTTGACAAGACTGAGCTGCTCTTCCTCCCGGGAAAAGATTGTCCAACTCTTGACCTGACAATCAACATCGGCACCTCAGTTGTTTCCCCGACTCAGACTGCAAGGAATCTGGGTGTGACCCTAGATAACAACCTGTCCTTCACTGCAAACATCGCTGCTACAACCCGCTGCTGCAGATACACGCTTTACAACATCAGGAAGATACGTCCCCAGCTGACTCAGAAAGCGACTCAGGTTCTGGTCCAGGCTCTCGTCATCTCACGCCTAGACTACTGCAACTCCCTCCTGGCTGGTCTACCTGCATGTGCCATCCGACCTCTGCAGCTCATCCAGAATGCAGCGGCTCGTCTGGTTTTCAACCTTCCTAAATGTTCCCACACCACGCCGCTCCTCCGCTCCCTTCACTGGCTTCCGGTAACTGCTAGAATCCACTTCAAGACACTGGTACTTGCTTACCATGCTGCGAATGGATCTGGCCCTTCCTACATCCAGGACATGGTTAAACCGTACACCCCAGCGCGTGCACTACGCTCTGCATCAGCCAAACGACTCGTTGCGCCCTCGCTGCGAGGGGGGACCCAAGTTCCCATCGGCGAAAACACGTGGGTTTGCTATCCTGGCTCCAAGATGGTGGAATGAGCTCCCCATTGACATCAGGACGGCAGATAGCTTGCACATCTTCCGGCGCAAACTGAAAACTCATCTCTTTCGACTCCACTTCGAGCGTTAGAACGATTAACGAAGCACTTTTATACTAATAAAGGACTGGCTTATCTAAAGCCAGTTGAGTAGCACTTGAAATGTTTGGCTCTATGAAACCTGATATACTTATATGATTCTGTTTTCTTCAAGGTTGTATCTTCCTGGTCGAATGTACTTATTGTAAGTCGCTTTGGATAAAAGCGTCAGCTAAATGCAATGTAATGTAATGTAATGTTTTAGGGTGAGGGCTACTTTCAAAAAATAAAACAAGTCGGGGGCTACTTTTACTCCTCTTTTGTTGTTTTTTGCAGTGTATATATTTAGCACATTTTAACATTATTATATGCTGACCTTTAACCTTTGTGTGCTGTTTGGGTCTGTGGGACCCGTTTGCAGTGTTTACTAAAAGAACATGTTGCAATTTAATTATTTTAACCTGCTTTATTTGGGGGGGGACCTCACCTCCTCTAGTGGGGTCCTCACCTCCTCTAGTGGGGTCCTCACCTCCTCTAGGGGGGTCCTCACCTCCTCTAGTGGGGTCCTCACCTCCTCTAGGGGGGTCCTCACCTCCTCTAGTGGGGTCCTCACCTCCTCTAGGGGGGTCCTCACCTCCTCTAATGGGGTCCTCACCTCCTCTAGGGGGGTCCTCACCTCCTCTAGTGGGGTCCTCACCTCCTCTAGGGGGGTCCTCACCTCCTCTAGGGGGGTCCGGGGGCATGCTCCCCCGGGAAGATGTATTTTTAAAATGTTGAAGTGAAGTGCATCAATCTGGTGCACTTTGAGCACAACATGAATGTATGGATACAGCTCTCAACACTCAGATGAAAGGGAGATGTATACTTTTCAATAATCCAAACATCTTTAGAATATGATCACAACCAATAACAAATCATTTCAACTTGTTTATTCTTATCTTATGTTACCTAGTTAGCATTCTTTCTTTTTATTTATGCATATTTTACTAATCACTCCCCTTTCAAACAGTTTTTTTTACTGTACTATAGTACACATTGGAATGATTTCTTACTTTATCTATATTAAATAGATAAAGGTGTGCTCTCCCTAGCTCTCGCGCTCGCTCTCTCTCTCTCGTTCTCTCCCTCCCTCCCTAGCTCTCGCGCTCTCTCTCTCTCTCCCTCTGTCTCGCTCGCTCACAGAGGCTGTGTGCTCCTCCGTGGCGATGACGGCTTGCGTTAAAAAAATAAATAAACGTATTTGTAAAGTGGGAGGACACAAACGGGGTATCGAAAAGTGCGGGGGACATGTCCCCCCTGTCCCCAGTGGAAATTACGCCATGCGTGTGTGTGCGTCAAGTGCAATAAACATATATGCAAGTTGCAACACACACAGAGTAAAGCTCTGCCCCTCATGTGTTGTATAGGCTGCACGACTAGGCTGTTCAATGGGGCTGATGTGTTGATTCTGCCAGAAGGGAAATCAGCAGGGAGGTGCCACATTGCTTTTCTTCCTGACTGCAACGCTGGTTCCGCAAATCAAGCAAGAACGTGATTGGTCGATATTCATTGTGGGGGTGGGGGAGGAGGGGTGTTAGATAGATATAGAGTTGTAGTAAGTAGATAGAGTTCGCTATGATTTAGGTTTCGTTTATGCATAGGGTAGATTCTTTTAATTACATTTCCTTTTTTGTTTTGTGTATTTTTTACATTTTGGATTTGCTTGGCGAGTTATTTTTAGAACATGCCCCGCGGGCGACTCACGTTGCCCCTGCGGGCGACTAAGTGCCCGCGGGCACCGTGTTGGCTACCCCTGATCTAGATCCTCTGCCTCGAGCCAGTTAACTAGCGGGCCTTCTAGAATACCCTGGAACCGAGGGAAACTCTGGAAGAACACGCCCATTGGCTACAAATCAATATATGATTGGTTGATCAAACTGTCAGTTCAAACGTACGCTCTCATTCAGTGCAACGGCCAGGGCATCCTATCAAGGATGTAGAATACCTGGTTGAAGGATATTCTACCCAGAGACCCAGAACAAGATCTGATTGGTTGCTTTCTTTTCTAACACAAAACCACTGAAATGCGTAGTGCATGGTCCGAGAAGGACAAACAAATCAACGTAACACTGTAATATTACAGATCAACAACACAGATACGATTCTTATTTAATATACATTTTATTAAATTGTATTTATATAATTAAATCGATTTTTTGTTTGTTTTATCTGAGTGTTCCAGATGTGAATACCTTGAAGGCCCTGACGGTTCGCCACAATAGGCGCTTTCACACTGCGGTACTTTTCCCACAAAGGTTCATGTGAACTCTTTAGTTCTCATGAACTAAGTACAGATCGCGTTCACACTGGAAAAAGTCCCTGAGGGAGGATTAGGCAAATGAAGCCGCTGACGTCACTTGTTCTTCTTCTGCTTTGGGTTTACTGGCAGGCCGCAAACCACTTCACGGCGTATACTGCCGCCCAAAGTCCCCGGCCGGAAGTCCCCGGAGTTGGGGACTGGCTTCAGTAGAAGCTGCTGGGACTCCCAGCAGCTTCTACTGAAGCCTTCCGAGTAAATTTCCAGAACGCCGACACCTCCTCATCTCCACCACTCCCATGTTTTATTTTGTGTTGCCATAAGTTAGTCTCTCTGCGTTTCTGCGCTGGGTTAATGCTAATGCTAATAATGCTAATGCGAGGATAATAAAATGGCGGCTTCACAAAACTTTTTGGGAGTTTTACGGGGCGTGGTTTGCAATCCTTCCAGCCAATCAGAAATGTAGCTCTTTTCTCACAAAAGAGCCGTTCGAAAGTCCCTGCTCTCTAGCAGCTCTCTGCTCTCTAGCAGGGCATTTCGAGCGGGTAAAAAGGTTCACATGAACTCATTTTAGTACCGGCTCTTTTTGGTGTGAACGCGATAAAAGAGTTCACATGAACTAAGTTCACATGAACCTTTGTGGGAAAAGTACCGCAGTGTGAAAGCGCCTAATAAGTCCTCCTCCATTCACCATGTATCAGTATTAACAGGTACACCGTAGGGAACATTTCATTGCCACATTAGATTTGAGCCATACGAAGGGCTGCAAATAAAGATCCCTAACATTTTGTATTCATTGAACTAATTTCCTGGAGCCCAACAGACAGATTTCCCCTGATGCCTGAGACCGTTTGTACAAGTGAACTGACCTTAGTGTTGGTCGCTTCAGACAGACTGTCGTTGCTCGCCGATAGATCTTTCTGTGCCGATAGATCTTTCTGTGCCGATAGATCTTTCTGTGCCGATAGATCTTTCTGTGCCGATAGATCTTTCTGTGCCGATAGATCTTTTCTGTGCCGATAGATCTTTCTGTGCCGATAGATTCTCCTGAAACAAGAAAACTGTCAGAAACAGAGAGCAGCTCAGCGTGTGAGAAAGTGTTGGATACAAATATTCTAACGTCTGTCATCGAGTCAGATGAGGAGTTCTCTATTTCTAAATAAAGACAGGACTTTATATCATTGAGCCTGTAATGACAATAAAGAGGAGAGGTATTTTTTCATACACTTTCAAAGCTAAGCCTTTATCTATAATCACACAGACATCCCTTTGGGTCTCTGGACATGGGCTGGTTTGCAAAATATAAAAAACAATACACAAACCAACAGCAAGTGTTGAAGTGAAACCATGTAGTAAGTACAATAAACCAGATTTGTATAAGAATAAGACGTTTACTGTCTGTGTCTACATGAAAGCTGCGTTGACTTTGAGAAGCTGTACCTCTCCGGGTGTTTTGGGGGTCTTTCTGAGGAGTCCACTGAACAAACCACCTTTCTCCTACAAGGAAGCAGAAAACGTTAAAGCAAACTCACTTATGTTCCATAAAAGGTCCCCTATTTTACTGTTTCTCATCAATATACTACAGGTCTCAGATATATACAAACATGTCTCTGAAGTGTTTGGCTCCAAACACCGAACGGATCATTGTAGCATTACCCATAATCCCCTCTGTTTCAGCCCTGTTTCAAAAGTGCTGATTCTCTGTCTGTTACTTCAGATGAAAATAAGGAGCCCCTCCCCACGCCCCTCTGAGAGACATTTGGTTACAAAGAACTCAATGGTGCTCTAGGAGGAGATTCAGGTGATAAGGTGTGTGGGGGGGGGGGGGGGGTTACCTTGGTTGCTGATTGGCTAATGCCAAACATTGTTATGACATCATAAAGTGGCCAAAATCTGATCAGCTCTTTTTCAGACAGATTTCTATAGAAATGGATCAGGACAAAAAGAGAGAGAATCTTTGTTCCTGAAACTTTCAGAGTCTCTTTCCACAGAGGGGACACATGTTGATGTAGAAGAGACGTGAAGAAGTGGATTTTGCATAATAGGTGACCTTTACATTCAGAATAACAAAGCTCCTTATCTACTTTTTATAGAGCAGCAGATCTTTTAGCCTCAACTTTTTTCCTTCTCATGTTGGTGGTGACTACCTGGTGACTCATTTGGTTTCAGTGTGTGTTTGAGGGGAGGATCTGATGATGAAGACTCACCTTGTTCTCCGACAGGCTGTCAGAGCTGGCGGAGAGCTCACTGTGTAACGTCTCTGAACCCTGAACACAACAAAAATGTTACTCAACCTGTGCCGACAGGGACAATGTAACCGGTTAGTTAAAGAAAAACTGGTTGATGCAAGAGAACAGAGTTCACATGTGTTTATTATGTACAGAATCGTTTAAAAGCAGCTTGTCTATTAATAATGGAAGGATTGTACAGGCTGCATTGAAAAGGAACTGGACTGTGTGACACCCCAAAACTATATAATATGGCTTCTTTAAAAAAAGGAATTTTTATTTTTTTTAAATGTTCTGGTATATGGATTTTTTCCTAAGTATATTGGACTGTATTATTGTAATATGTAGGATGACCTTATATATAACCCATCTTGTACATGTATGTGTTATTTACGTTCTGAGTGTTATTATTGATTTGATACATTTAGTTTTTCATATTCTCATGTTGAATTTTTGGGATTTGAGACCTTCTACATGTTGTGACCCCTTGTTAAAGAAACTGTTCATCTACATTGGAGTACTATTGGATAGAAAGGTAAATGCGAGAAAATAACTAATAAAGAATACGTTTAAAACAAGTAAAAAATAAAATCAACTTGTAGGGCTGCTCAATTAATCGTATTTTAATCGCGATTACGATTATGGCTTGCAACGATTACGAAAACAACGTAATCGAAATAAAACGATTATTTTTTTTCAGGGTAATCAACTGTTAAAAACATACTGTTCACATTTTTTCTCTCCACTAAATGGATGTTTTCAAAGTCAATGAATAATCGCATTTAATAATCACAATTACAATTATTGACCCAAATAATCGAGATTATGATTTTTGCCATAATCGAGCAGCCCTAGCAACTTGTCTGTAATTTAGATTTCAGCCATGGACATTTATTATTTGTATATACCATTCTGAAATATGTTACAGCAACAGGCTGCTACATATTTCAGTAAATATTACATGTATGTGTAAATACATTTCAGTTACCTGTCCAGGTGTTCCCTCTCTAGAAACCTTGGGAGACTTTCGCAGCATCCCGCTGAAAAACCCTCCTTTTTCCTATTCAGACAAATTAACTCACACCATGAGTCAAATGTCTACATCATTTTAATAATGAATACAATAAAATACGGTCACTTCACAAAACTTCTAAACTCACCTTTGATTTTTCAGACAGATTGTCACTACTGCCCGACAGATCGTCATGTAAAGACTGTCGGTCCTAGAAGACAAAATAAACTGGTTCAATACGTTTATCAGACCACGGGATTTAACTAATGATATGGTTTTGTTGAAATTAATTAGCATACTATAAAAGTTTCTGAGCCACATCACCTCGTCAGTTTGTTTGGGAGACTTCTTGAACATCCCGCTGAATATTCCTCCTTTTTCCTGAAACACAAAAAACAACAACAACAACAACAACAACAAACACACACACACACACACACACACACACACACACACACACACACACACACACACACACACACACACACACACACACACACACACACACACACACACACACACACACACACACACACACACACACACACACACACACATCACACACACACACACACACACACACACACACACACACACACACACACACACACACACACACACACACACACACACACACCACACACACACCCACACACACACACACACACACACACACCACACACACACACACACACACACACACACACACACACACACACACACACACACACACACACACACACACACACACACACACACACACACACCACACACACACACACCACACACACACACCACACACACACACCACACACACACACACACACACACACACACACACACCACACACACACACACACACACACACACACACACACACACACACACACACACACACACACACACACACAGTTAAGATGTATTCTTGTCGAGGTCAGGTCAATGTGAGGCCTTTAAGCAGGACAATCTACCGTCTGTGTGTAAACTGGTCCTTCACAAAGCTGCTCACCTTGTTGCTGTTTTCAGACAGACTGTCGCTGCTGGCCGACAGATCGCTGTGAACGCTCAGACTGTCCTGAAACACCAAACGTCATATCACAGGAACATACAAAGTCAAAATGAAAAATATGAACATTGACTTTTTTGAGTGGTTTTTTTTAAGAATGAAGCTATTTTTTGTCTCTAACCTGCGCCGGTGTCTCGTCTGTTGTTTTGTGGGATTTTCTATGGATGCCAGAGAAGAAGCCTCCCTTTTCCTGTAAAACATGTAACCATTTGATCGTGATAATATTAATACAGATACACAAAGCAAACACACACACCTACAGCATCATGATGACACTGCACAAAAACATCTCAGAAATGAAAGAGTTAGTTTCAAAGTATGATAAAAGTGTCAGCTAAATAACATTTAATGTAGCAGTCCTCTTAAACATGGATTACATTTCTATTAAATCATACTTCTACCAAGGAACACGGGCAGCCATCTCTAGCCCTGACTTTAACATAAACGCACATACGTTTATGCAGATTTTTTTAAACTAATTTCTTTGGCTATTTGAGGCACATCTTTCAAATGAGAGCTCGTTTCATAACAGCGGTTGATCAATAATTTAAGATCCTGAGTATGATGTAAACCACATGTGTCAAACTCAAGGCCCGGGGGACAAATCAGGCCCTTGGTGGATTTAATTTTGGCCCTCCGGTATATTGCACCTTCACTCCATCCTGAGGGTCTCCTCCGCTCAGAGCCTGACCCCAAACATTGATGAACTTGAACCCGAGATGAGATGCCAAGTATCTGCTTGAACTAGCACCACAGAGCAGCACACTGAGTTTAAATGGATGTTTCCTTCTGCACTTTGTTTCTCACGACAACAGGATGTTTGTTTTGTTCTTTGAGGGAAATAGTTTTGTTGAAGCTGTTGTTGGCCTGTGGAGAAATGTAATCATAAGAAATGACTCCGGAAAAGCTGCAGATAGATCCATAAGAAATGAATGCAACTGATTATTTAATGTTTCATGTTGTTTTTATAGGCAATAATTGAAGCTTTGTTAGTTCCAGGTTTAATATGTGCAATAAGTTCATTTCAATACGTTTTGCAATAAACATTGAACCAGTCCGGCCCTCGACTTGTACCCATTTTTTTATTTTGGCCCACTGTGTATTTGAGTTTGACCCCCCTGATGTAAACGGTCTGTTTCTGTGTGAAGTGGCCTTTATGCCACGGGACACTCTGTAGATTATACCATAACAAAAAGCTACCTTATCTTCCTCTTCTTCTTCATCTTCAGGATCACTGTCTGCTTTGTGGACCTGGGGGTGAAAAGGCAGAACAATGAGTAAGAGGAACTGAGAGACTGAAAGTGACATTTATGATGTGAAAAGGAGCAGAAGAGTTTAAGTTACCGTCACAGCAGGAGACGACGATTTCTCTTTGGGAGTTTTCCGGAACATTCCTGCAATCTTATCTCCGATATCCTAAACAAAAGGTGGAAAACAATTAGATGTTTACTTGTCTAACAAAAAGCTACATTAATGTCCTTCTTTAAACACATTTGTTTGAAATCTGTTCTCCCTGTTTGCTTGGAGACATTTAAAAAGAGAGAAACGTGGAAATAATGTTACCGTTTGGTTTAATTTGTGTTAGCACATGTATTTTATGTGTTAGTTGTTTATTTGAGCACTTTTAAAGATATGTTTTCACTCTGTTATTCTCTGAAACTTTATTTTTTTAACCACTATTGTGTTATCTGTCCAGAAACAAATCAAGAGGCAGTTTGTCTCTCACCTGTTTAGCTTCGGCATTTCTTTCGGGCTTGTTTTTTTCTTCCTTTTCTGAGCCGGCTTCCTCGCTTCTGGGTTCTGGACTCGGCTCACTGCTGACCTTTAATAACAGTCAACAATCTTCAGTACAATAATCATCTCAAATGTTTTATTCCATACCAACAGACAAGAGAAATCACCAACATGTAAACAAAAGGCAGTAGGGGTGTATCGAAAAATCTCATCAAATCATTCACAGGGTTAGTTTGAGCATGTGTTATCAAAATGCTTCTAACCCTAACCCTTTAAACCAAAGACAACACTTTCAAATATCCATTAATTTAAAACAATCCAGGTAAATATCACCAAGCAGTTACTGTTCAACCACCACCATTATCACCACTGCGACACAAGCCACGGTACTTCCATGTAAAAGGTCATTAACAGATATTGTGATGGATAAAAAGCTGCAGCCCCCACCAGCAGGAAACACACGGTGCTTCATACCTTCGGTGACGACTTGATCTGTAACCCTTTCATAACTCCCTTCAGACCGGCCTGTGAAGCACAGTCACATGTCACACACCAGCGCACGACAACACAAAGAACACATAAACACACACATATCAAAACACACATACCGATTTGCTACCAAGGGTCTTTTTGGCCGGGAGATCTTCAGTGATTTCCTCTTTGTCTGGGGCCACGTAACTCTGAGGAAGAAAGGCAAACACCTTCTGATATCTTCTGTGCAGATCTAATACAATGTATATGTTCAGGTTTATTATGTTAATCTGTTACTGTGTCTTTTTTCTTCTGTGATTGATAAATATGAGATGACTTACTGTACAGAATCCCAACCGCAGCTTATACATGCTGATACACACCTATTGTATGTCTGAATACACACTTGTGTCTCATGCACGTACACACCCACCCACACACACCAGGAACCTGTTTGACTGTGGTATACCTTTGTATTGCTCTTTTTTACATATACCTTATTGATTAAATGACCCAGTTATAGGTCCTCCAGTCAGTGTATGATGAGGAAAGATAAGTACATATTTAAAGAAATATTCTCCAAGATATCAATTTCATAAAATGTCTGTTAAATCATTACATGACATGTTAGACGCTTTTATCCAAAGCGACTCACATACTCAACACTGTGGACAATCCCCACAGGAGCAATGTGGGGTGAAGTGTCTTCAGGGACACAACGACATGCTGGCTGCAGTGGGGTTTGAACCTGTGACCCCCTGTCACTATGTACAAAAATAAATATATCAAAATATTTTTTCTTAAACAACTTCTACTATAGAAACAAAGATAAACTGACCACACACAAACATATTTTAATTTGAGGACTGTTCTTTGTCAGATTAACCATACTAATTCAGAATTGAAAGCAAATCAAGTGTAGATAGAGCACCGTTACCTCACTGTGCCGTGGACGAGGAGCCGGCTTTGAATTTTAAGTTTAGAAACCGCACTAAAAAACTCATGATGCCTTTAAGGTGATCCGGTATTAGAAAGTATGGACTCAACGAGCTTCAAGATAACTGCTTCAAATCATGTTTTTCTAACAAGGTGTACGATTATGTGAAGCCAAAAACCTTTGCCATATCATAAGCAAACAAATACACATACAATACTTGTGCAGAGCTGCAGGTGTGTTTCTTACAGTGAACGAAGGCGGTTTCTCTTTTTGGCTCCGGCGAAACATTCCAGTCAGGACCGACTGATCAGTCTCCAACAAAGAACATGTAAACAAAGAGGAATATATGATATAAACTGTATTTCAATTAGGTCAAAGCTGCAGAATAATTACTCTATTACCTGCTTAATGGCGGTTTCCTCTTTGGTATCTTCTGGTTGGCTCTGATGAGGAACAGGAGGGACAGACTCAGAAAAGTATAAAAACAAGTTTGGGGTATTTACATAAAATGGGGACATTGCAGAAGCTATGGAAGGTTAAAGTGAAAAGACTGAACTACTGTGAGGAAAAGTTGAATATAGTTAATCTATTTGAGGTTCTGTTTGTGAACAAGCGGTTTGTGGATGTGCTTTTATTGTATTTTTGTTGAATTTGTTAATTTGCAAATGTTATTATAATTTCTTAGTCTGTACTTTACTTTCTAGTAACTGCACACTTTTTATTTTATTCATTTTTTAGCATTATTTTTGTAATCTGCCATATGTCTAATGTTGACACACACACACACCACTTCAGGGGACATTACATTGACTTACATGCATTTCCTGGAGACTTATCCTAACCTTAACCATAACCAACACATGCCTAACCCTAACCAAGTCTTCACCCTAAAATTAATGATTCCCCTTATGGGGACCTCCAATGTGTCCCCATAAGGGAAGCCAGTCCCCACACGTGACTATGTAAACAGATGTAGGTCCCCCCAAGTATAGTAACACACACACACACACACACACACACACACACACACACACACACACACACACACACACACACACACACACACACACACACACACACACACACACACACACACACACACACACACACACACACACACACACACACACACACACACACACACACACACCACACACACACACACACACACACACACACACACACACACACACACACACACACACACACACACACACACACACACACACACACACACACACACACACACACACACACACACACACACACACACACACACACACACACACACACACAGGAGAAATAACAAAAGATATTTTGAACAGTGAAGTAACATGAAACCTTTTGTCATTTCTCCACTGCTAGCTGTTCTCACACTAAAGAACAGGCTCCAACGGTCGCTGATGAACTCTAATAATCTTTATTGACATGAAACAAACACACGTTCTCACAGTATCAGGTTACACTTCTGTGTTTGGTTTTAAATATGAGAAACACTGCATTGTATTTTTAGATATTGGGAGTGTTTGTGTACCTTTTCTGTGGGTCTGGGTGGAACCACAGGAGTTTGTATAGAGTTCCCATTCGCCTGATGAGGAAGAAAAAAGATGAAGATACACAATCAGACTGATCAGTTACCATTACTGGACAATAATGCAAATAGCATATGTTTTTTTTTCCTATAATAATAATAATAATTATAACAAAGACAAAAAATAAAACGTTCAAGGTACGAAAAAAGAAAAAAGCATAATGTACTGTATGCAAAATAAAGCAGAATATTGGTTAAAATCAACATCATAGAAATCATAAATGGTTTGTTTCCCATGTGAATCGACATAATTATACTGATGATTAATTTACTGACCTAATCTTTCATATTCCATTTTATTGTACAGATTATTTTGTGCCGTTATTAGGAAGTTACAGTAGAGATGAGAGAGGGAACACAAACAAAGGGAAATACAAAAGGTTAGGACTTGAAAATGTCCCAGACTGGAGTCAAATCAGCGATAACCACTCTATCATCACAATGGTTTTAGTTTTAATATAAAACATATTCATGTGTGTGGGGGAAACTTCTGAAGCAATGGGAGTCAGGACTCAGAGAGACACGAGGAGAGCTGGAGCTTTGATGGCAAACACTGACGGTTTATTCGGAGCTTCGGCCGGAGAATTCACAAGACATGTCACGGGTCACGGTCTGACCACACGGTAGAGATGCCACAATCAATTCTGAAGAACCCTTCCTCTCGTATGAGGTTTAAACTAGTTTCGCTAATGGTAATCAACATTCTTCATTAGTTAGACTAAACAGCTGGTGAAACTGAATCACAGTTGTTGTCGCTTATGGCTCGGGGTGTAGTGAACATTTGTATTATATCCTGATATGTTTAAACTAAATGCTTCTCATGTCCTGAGATGTGCTGTTTTCCTCTATCTACTCTACTTCAAGGCCACAGAACTGTTTTGGCTACTGGGTTGAGACTCACACAAAGTCACACGAGAACTTCTACAGCTCAAGGCCAGGTGTCTAATAACAATATGACCGTGTGAAGACAGATTTCTGCACTTCCCACTCTTTCCTGTAGATATGCCTTGCTACCATATTGAACTGCGCACACTCGCGCAGACTATTCTATACTCTGTGAGACCTGTGTCTATATTTTATTGTATCTAATGTTTATTTGAAGCTTCAAATAAAATCACCAGAAAGACAACTCTGTCTGATTCACCATTTATTTGTTTTTGATCACTCTGACTTGTACTCTACAGTATTGGGGTTTTTAGATTTCCATACCAGGGGTCATCTCCACCCCGAGAAGGATGTGTTCCAGGTGTCCCACAACAATAACTATCTCTGACCGAGAGTTGCCCGGTCACAAACTGGTAACAACAACAAAATGCTAGGGCAGCCCCTCCTTAAGGGAGATAGCGGCTGCTCGAGGCTGGGCATCTGCGTCAGAGGGCGAAAGGTAAACATGTATACAGAATTATTCCCTGACAATGTGATGTTCATTTTTCTCTGCCCTACAAAAACTTCAACATGTAAAAGTACACTAAATACCTCAGTGTTTGTTGTTGCTGCTCCTCTCTTTCGGTATTGTGTCTGACCGAGTTCCTGCACACAAAACACACATCTGTTTTTTCAACTGTTGAGTCTCGTTGCAAATCAAACTAACTCCTCCTCTGTATTTAGTGATTCTAGTAAAAGACATGAGAGCGTTGCATGCAAATCACTGCTCGCAAATGCTTGAAAAGTTATGGTTTTCGGTTGGTTCGCGTCGAAAGGAGCCAGTTGAGGTGGTTCGGGCACCTAGTTAGGATGCCACCTGGGCGCCTCCCTAGGGAGGTGTTCCAGGCACGTCCAGCTGGGAAGAGACCAAGGGGTAGACCTAGGACCAGGTGGAGGGATTATATCTCTTCGCTGGCCTGGGAGCGCCTTGGGATCCCCCAGTCAGAGCTGGTTGATGTCGCCAGGGAAAAGAAAGTTTGGGGCTCTCTGCTGGAACTGCTACCCCCGCGACCCGACCACGGATAAGCGGGAGAAGATGGATGGATGGTTATGGTTTTCATTTAAATATTTATTCAAGGCTGATTTAAAGTCCAGTTCTATTGTTGTGCTGAAAGCTGCCAGTGGGTAATAACAAAATCCAGCTTGTATCATTATTTCATATCTGTGAAAGTGACTGTTTTCTGTTCAAACAACATATGGATTTGATTGATTGAACCTTGTCTTCTTCCTCACAGAGTGGACACAGTTTAGTGTGTTCTTTGTCTGTTTAACTTGATTTTTTTGTCTGATTTGTTTTAAATACAATCATTTACTCTCTCTTTCTATCCTTCATCTTTGCACATCCATATCTTCTGTTGTTTTGTCATATTTTAGGCAAAGAAAAAGGGGATTAAAAAAGGGGAAATAAATCATTTTCACTGGAACGCAGACTCATTCCTTTACTTAAATGTTACCAGATGTTTAAGAAATGTTGCCAAACTAAATATGCGGAGCAGAAGATACATTAAAAGAATGTGGACCCTACATCGCATCACATGTGTTTTACCTGTAGAGAAACACTACTGGTCTAAGATGTCTGGACTTACAGCGTCTGCAGGTCGTTGAGGCACCAGAGGAGTTCCTTTCTGTAGTTTCTCTTGCTCCATTCTTTTAATCTGTGAAGACAGTTTGTTGAAATGTGAAGCCATCCAGAAGTCAACATATAAACCCCCGTCACATGCATGTAACAAAGAAAGCAAACACGTGATTAACTTTGTGATAGAACATATTAAAGCTTGAGTTTATATAACAGTACCTCTGAAGGCTTGAGAGGAGGCTTCGGCTGTAGACAGAGAAGAAAACAGGAAATATATATGTTAAGATTCGTTAGATTTACATCTGTTGTATGTGAGTTTAGGATTATTTATACTCTCCAGAATCATTATCTGACAGTATTCACACTGTGTTTTGCATTAGGTTCTTGCTTTTGTGTTATATGTAAATAATCTTACTGGGTTTGGCTTCTTTTTGACTTCTGGTTTCATCATACATGCCTCCATCCTGCCTGAAGAGACACAGACAGAGATGAAGAGTACACTGCAACAGGAGTATCACAGGTGTGTGCAGGTGTGTCACTTCCACCTGGAAAAAACAGAGAGACAAACACTTATTTAAATATATATATAAATGTTTCTCAAATGGGCCATTCTTCATAATGAGTACTTTAGGTACTGGTATTTCACTTGTAAATGAGTATTTCTACACTGCGGTATTGTGGTTTTTAATGTAGTAAGTATTTCAAGTAAAATAACTGCATGGAGAATGGTACTTAAGTAAAGGTTTATAAGTACGATTAGGAAAATATACTCAAAAGTATTAGGAGTAAAACACCTAATTGCAATTTCAAAAGAAGCTGGAACTGTGAAATATTTTTGAACAAAGAAATCTTAAATAAATTATTGTTCTGTTACCCAACTCATGGTTTTAGTCATTTGAATATAACGTTTGATGGTTTAATCTTTACCAAATACAATAGTATTTCCTAAGTATTGTGTGTCAAAATCAGATTTTGTAAAAATAAACTAGTAAATAAATCTGTCAAATAAATATTTGCTTCCAAAGAAAAATAAACTAGTAGAAAAATGAAAATACTCATTCAAAACTAAAGTACAAGTACCTCAAATGTGTACATAAGTAACAATACTTGAGTACTTAGTTACTGTGCACCTAAAATATAACATATATATATGCTGAATACAGGAAGAATTGCAGGGTATATTGACAGTGTTCACTCTCTGTATGAAACATTTAGAGAAGTACTTTAATACACATTTCCTTAAACTGCAGTTTGTTGTCACCGGCTGGAAATGTTTAGCTAACGTTGGCTAACAGTGAAACGGACGGTACATTGTTAATTAAAAGCGTCTTAAACTGTAAATAACTGGATCAGGTTGAGGTCGGACTGAGTGGTTTCACTTACCGGAGATTTGGAGACAGTTATAAATTAATTTACGTTCAGTTTTTTACTGGTTACATCAAAGCAGAGAAGTGATGGCTCCTTCACTGTCACAACATTCCCAGGAGTTTCTAAAACGTTACCACACCCACAAAACACATCTGCACACAGGAGGCGTTCGAGAGCTCCTTAAAAAGCTCAGAAATCTTATCCTCCGTATCTGAAGTCACATCCGATTTAACCTAATTTACTTTTTCCTCACATTAGTTCTGTTTTGTTTGTCTTCTTAAGCGTTGAAAAGTCATCCTGAAATTGCCCAGAAGGTGGTTTTAAGGAATTGTATTGATGAAATGCATGAAGTGCATTTCATTGTGTGGGTTGCATTGAACTATCATTTCATATATTTTATATATTCTCTCTAATTGTATAGCGTTTCTTGTATTGTTAATGTTCCATGTGCCTCTGAAAATAGCTCCTATGGGACGAATAAAGTAGGTTGCATTGCGTTTAATACTGGTCAATGTACTCATCAAACTAACTTAGCAAAAAAAAGGTCACATTTTGTCAATCACATTTGCTCTATTAATTCAGTTTGAATAACCAGCCCTAGTGTCAACATCCTGATGTTCATAAAAGTTAAATTACAGAAGCATAGCACTAGGGAAAAGCATTTGTAATTTGACTTGAAGAAAACGTGGGCAAAAAATAAATAAATGCATTTCTGTGTCATGTGCATTATTATTTATTTATGAAAAAGATAATATGCACATCATTGTCATGGTCACTGGTTGATGCAGTTTCAATCCTCTCCACTTTTAACTCATCATGTCCACTGCACAATACCATCTTGTGTTGTCATGTTTCTCAACGGTAGTCATCGCCACATGAAGTAAAGCAAATATTTCTGACGCCACCCAAAGACAACAATTCTAACAAAGCATCTTAAACAAACCCAAACACGCCCTGAGAGCTTCTTGTTCCACAAAACCTCACTGTTGGATAATAAACCGGCTTCCTGCCACACATATCATATATCATCTCATTCACAAAATGTCCATCTGATACTTGTTTAAAACATAAAAGGCAGCATTTAATGACCTACATCTCACCTGTTATTGCAGTGGGAGAAGATGCGAGGTAAGAAACCTTTGTGTTGCTTGCTTCTGGCTTTGTGAGGGCTGTCGACTCACCTGGGAGTGGGCGTGGCCTGTTTGAGTCTACCCGTGGGAGTGGGCGTGGCCTGTTTGAGTCTACCTGTGTCAGTGGAAACGGAAGAAACGCGTTGCTGTGACTCATCGGTTTCACAGGTGTCAACAACACGTGAAACGAAAACCCAAGCGTGATGCGACCTGCTCCTCCAAAAATAGAAATGCAGTCATCGTCTTGACAACGAACACTGACACAAAATAACAATGAGTTTGACAATATTTTACATGTCAATATTATTTTGTTAATTTAATTGTTAAACGGATATTTTTGGAACATATCCATCTGTCTTTATATTTGGATTCATGGCTTGGTTTAATGATCAGATGTGAAACTTCATTAACGTGTTTGTCTTCTCTAGGTCGTGCAATTTAACTGTATTGACCACCAGGTGAAATCCAATTAAGATGTAGAAACTTCCAAAAATGATCAGGAGAAAGAGGAAGGCACTTGATGTCAATGTGATTTTTAAGATTTTCTTTTGTATTAATTAAAATTGCAAAACAATTATAATCTTGTTGTATCTCTTATTGGTACATTTGGGGCATAGTCAAGATTCATCTGGTGCAATTTGAGATATGTTTTGTTTTGTGACCTATTTGGTTTTTAAAAATCTAGAACTCCCTTGTCCAGTTGTAGACAAGCTTATATTATATACAAATATTTATAATAAATAAAAATACAACAAATTATTAAATTCGATAAGAAAAAGATGATAGGAGGGAAATATGTCAGCATACGGGTTGTGAAATAAATCAATGTGAAGCAGTATATTCTTGTTTCAGGAAATGCAAAAAAAGCAATAAACTGTCAGTCTCATTTTATTTTAGTACTACGACTACAGCGTTGCAATTATTATTTTCTGATTGCTTATCAATGACAATCACATTAGGGTGTACAAGAACGTTGTAGTAATAGCCAACTTAAAACTGTTCAATTCAAAGAGCAACTTTAAACACAAATTAAGATTTTTTCAGACCTAAACTGGTTTATCACCTCGTCCTGCTGCAGTGATGTAGCGTGTCCTTCAGGGTGGGGTCAGCACGCTGTGATGTCACTGTTGGGTGTAGTAATGAGTGTAAGCAGGGCGAGGTTTCTGCTATATGTCGATTAACAAAACGGCATGTGTTGCTTCTGTCGCCTTGAATCGACTGATCTATGTGGCTAAGTAAATAAATCCAACCCCAGTCTAATAACTGTGTTTGTTCAAGGTCGCTAAACAATTCTTAACATTGCCACAAATGTAAAGGGTGACAGAAACTCAGATATGTTCAGCTAGCAGACCTCCTTCAACATAATGTATGGAAATGAAAAAGTAAACATTGCTCAAGGACACTTAGACAAACACATTTATCTTGGTTTTAACTGAGCAAATAAGAAATGCAGTAAGTGCACCAGAAGAGGAACAACGAAGTGTTTGCTTGCTGACACACAGACTAACAAAGAAACAGATTGACCAAAAACATATTTATCTGACCTTTATTTGTCAATTTAAAAGTATTACAGATTCTACAATATATTGCACATGTACAGGTCGAATGAACGGCACCCAGAAAATAAATATTAAGTTCATTAAACAGACCACAGGACTGACATCAGCAGAGCTTCCAGTATGAACCACATAATGGAGCATGACTTTGAAATAATTTAAAAAGATTAATGTAATAAAAGGAAAAGGCAAACAGTTATTTTCAGAAGAGGTTGACACCGTCGTCATTCCAGTTGTAAGAGATCATTTTCCAAACCATTAAAACATTAACTACTGTATGGCTGAAGACAACGGTTAAACCTGCAGGACTGTTAAAAAACAAAGAACACCATGATAGAAGTTCTCCTCAGATTTTACGTCTGTATATTCCCATTATTTTGCACCAGTGGTCAAGTGTGTACTAAGTTAAGATTTACACTTCAATCAAATAAAACCGGTTGCTCCACAACAACGGATTCACATGAACAGATTAGTCACTGTTAAAATATTTACACCCAGGAGGCATAGCTAACAGACCAAAAGCTAACGTTAGCTTGCTTTCATTGTGACTAGACTCAGGAGATTTGGCAATAATATAAAAAATGGGTGACATACATAAAATCTAACTCTCAAAATTAAGTTTAATAATGCCGTTTAGTGAGTAAAAACTATTCATTACAAAAAAGAGCCGAAGTACTAAAGGACCACGAGGCGTTAGCTTAGCTATAGCATAATCAGATATTTCCCATTCATCCTAGACTGGATAAATATGAATAATTCTAAAACACATAATTCTCCATTTATGCCCTGCTTGAATATAAAACATTAATTGCATTTAAGAAAAGTATTGGCAGCAAAGTTTGATTGACATGTGACTTCCTAAAAACACATTTGTTTAAGGTTTGCTACAGCTAGGTTAATGAGGTTAATTTTGTTGTTTTATTAGCTCTTGTCATCTGATGCAAAGCTTATTGCGCCATTCTTTAAAATGAGACAAAAGTCATCAATACGTTAAAACACCCCACATTAAATCCAGAACTTAAAGCAGAGGACGAGGGGTTTCGTTGCAGCCCTGACACCAAAACAAACATAGACATAGAAAAGATAGACTATTATTTAAACATAATTAAGGCACCCGTAAGAGTATAAGCAAAGTCTACACCTGATCAGTGAGCGTTTCTAACAGAATCAACACACTTTAATGGAACTCTAACAATCACTTTAAAGGCAGACTTATAAAGTCTCTAAAAAATACTTTGTACCTATTCCTTTAAAAATCTAAAAGTGTACTATCCAAATTCATGATTTAGTTTGGTCTTTGAATCCCATTTTCTTGACACATTGGCACAACAGCCAGAGAAGCAGAGCCTCAGTTCCTCCCAGGACACACACGGACACACACACATGGACACACACACACAGACACACACACACACACGGACACACAGGGACACGGACACACACGCACGTATTTCCTCATTGGAAAAAGGCCTGATTGTACTCTTCAGTTTTAAGCAATGTGCACCAACCACCTCATAGAATAGACGTTAAGCCGGTACCTTCAAAGTACTTGTTCTGTAGGGGAACTTGGAAACTGAGAATGTTTGAAGCTTGCATCTGAACCCCTAATGATAGAGCAAAGTTTCAGGCCTTCAAACATATTCTCGGTTCTCATAGTCCTTTTTAATGGCTTTTTTGATGCGGTCGATTTCATCTTCACTTGAACTGTCATGTTTGTCGTCTTTCTTGTCACTGTCCAATGGGGCTGTGTCGGTGCCTTCGTCGTTTGCTGGCCCGCTGCACTGCAGCTCCTCTCGTATCGTGTTCAGCTCCACCAGGCCGTCGTGCAGCTGCGTCGCCACCTCCCTGATTTTGGCGGCAAACTCGGACTTGGCCCCTTTCTTCAGTTCTTTGGAGTCCTTGGCCACGAAGTAGATGTCCATGCCTACAAAGAGTCCAGTGAGCACACCAGTGGCCATACTAGCGATCTGGACCGCTCTCGCTGCGGTGCTTCCTGCCACGTTGGCGATCTGCACCACACGCATGATCTCGTTAGCGCTGATGAGGATGGCCTTCCCTGCCATGGCGCCGTCTTCATAAATACTCTTGCTGAGCACAGGGAAGTCTCGGTTGTAGGCGTGTTCCTTCATCTTGATCAGGTCAAACCGCTTCATGTTCTCGATTCCCTGCTTGATGAACTTCAGGCACTTGTTGAGGTCGACCATCTTCTCCATATAATCATTCACGATCTTCTCCACTTTCTTGCGGTCCTGGGAGTTGTTGACCTGGTTGGAGATGCCGGCGCCTGCTGATGTCAGACCGCCTGCCGTAGCGACACCCAATCCTACAGCCGTAATAATCAGAGAGACCCCGAAGGTGACCGGGGCCAGAGCGAGGCCGGTGATGGTGGCCACGCCCCCGATGGCGCTGGTGGAGCCGCCGGTGATTTGGGCGATCTTTGTGTTCTTGTTGAACTTGTCCAGGCCGTCTGCGATGCTGTTGAGGTCGATGACGTGCTGCCAGAGGCTCTCAGCCCGCTCCGAGAACAGTTTGTTGAAGACGCGGATTCCCTTCTGCACCTTGTCCGCCGTCACAGCAAACGCCCTGAGACGAGCAATTTAGAATTACAAAGAGCAAGGTCACAGTTTATTTAAAAACTAACCCCTAGTGGATCTTCCATTCACATACTAGTGGTTTTAGTTCCCCAAGTTTTGAGATATCCAGCTCTCAATAATACACAGAATTTGTATTAAAGGTTTTTCTGGTGTGTCTAATACATTTTATTCCTACATTGTTGATGTCAGACAAACATAGAAAGCTTCAGAGTTTTGAGATGTGGGGTGAAGGTGGTACTGTTTTTGGGAAATTGTGTATTTTGTTATGTTTTTGACCGTGTTTCGAGCAGTGAAAACAAAATGATGTTCTCCATATGTTGGGGTCAGGGAAGACATTTAAGATGTGGATATCTCTAAATCTATCTGCATGGCTTAATACCACAGAAATAAAAACATCAGATCCTTTAAAGATCAAAGACAAAGAAGTGAAATATTATATAAACATGTATTTGTGCCATCACTTACTTGGCCTCTTGTTTTTCTGTCATGTCATCCTCTTGAGGCGTGTCCTCCCAGGCTGAGGAGGTCAAAGTAAGAAAGAAAAAATGAAGTTAACTTATCGTGCAATATTCAATAACGGACAAAAGTATGTGAACAGCAAAAGATCCAGAGCATATAGAGAGGCGAAGTCCCTCCCTTTCCGGTTGAGCTCCATGGGACCTTATTTCGGAAAAGTATGTATTGAAGTCAATGGCGAGAGAAAAGTTATCTTTCGATCCCGTTTGAATTGTGCCACGAATTACACATGTGATGTTTGTCAATTCAAAAGATAATTTTGCAAGTTAAAAAAATAAAAATGTGTCGTAAAACTGTGAAGTAACACTTTATTTTGTGTGAAACCGCTCAATGAACTACATCTCCTGTCTCGCACCACACACCAAGACGGCCGTCACTTTGGAACATTTCACTTCTTTCTTTCAGAATGAGGCGAAAAGTATTAAAAGAGGTGAAAATCACTACGAGTCTGGGCATGTTGAGAACTGTACATACACACAAGGGGAGTTAGTCGGTTCCGTAAGAGCCAGCATGCGGGACCGGGACTCTGGGATTTGTAGTCTTTCTAGTTGCGTATTTTTCATAGTCTTATATTTTAACAGTTTTACGACAAACTGTGACTTTTTTGACATGGAAATTATTTTTTAAGATTGACAAACATCATATGTGTAATTCGTGGCACAATTCAAACGGGATCGAAAGATAATCTTTCTCTCTCCATTGACTTCAATACATTATTTTTCCTAAATAAGGTCCCATGGAGGTCACCGGAAAGGGAGGGACTTCGCCTCTCTATAGTTCCACAAGCATGGGCATTAACCTGCTGCTATAACAGCATCCGTAGCGTTGCTGTTATAGCAGCAGGTTAATGCCCATGCTTGTGGGTTCAGATTTTGGGACCTGCTTGCAGGGTTAGTTTCTATTCGGCCACAATATAAATGATTAAACACAGAAAACGCTTTTTAACCGACCTTGCTCTGTGTCCCATGGGCATAATGTTAAAATAGATAATGTTATTTCTAAAACTGTTGCCAAAAAATTGGAAGAACACTTTTGTCCTAGATATAATGGTTTGATGCGGCGGCATTCACTTCCTTTATTTGCTACTTACACTCCACGGTGTTCCACCAATCCATAAGGCCCTGGAAATCCTGAAACACACCATTAGATTTATATGAGTTTGCATGTCTACGGTTGCTATTCAAACTGTTGAGATCAGATTTTGCTTCAGAAACCAACCTGTCTGTCTTCAGGCTGTGACGGGTCAATACGTAAATCTTCCAACTGGTCGAACAAAGTTCTTTTTCCATTCTGAAACAACAGAAATATTACTTTTTAAAATGTATATATTAACACCAAGATTTTGCATAAAGACAAAATGTCAGGGTTTAGTGTGTGGCTGAAGTGTGTGAGTGAGACAGAAATTAATATCGACTTATGAGGTGTCTCATTTCCTTGGTTTCACTTATCATGCTGTATATGCTCAGATAAAGAGGAGGAAGTGAGAGTAAAAGGAATTCTAAATGCACAGCTTGCTTTTGCAGAAGTAAAGAATCGCCCATGGAAACCTTGAAAAAGGAAGCATAGCAGAGAAACAAGTTTGGGCACATGGCAACCTAATCTCGTCTCCTTCTATACCAGGGAACGGCACAAACACTGCGTGGAGGTGGGTGTCACATCGAGAGTGGAGGGTAGAAAAACAAACACACGTTGACTATAATAGTCTCTGTTGGGAGCTAAGTGGACACCCTGGAGACGAACATAAGACAGAGGTTGTTTTCAGGGAGGGGTCTGGTTACTGGAGCAGATCTTTAGTAATCCTGAACCACGATGAGTAAGACTGGAAATGGTCAGTTGGGTAGACAAATATACTGACACAGAGGGAGGGAAGAGGTTAAAAAGTGATGTGAGAGCAGACTGAAGGAGAGAAAGAAACTAGGAAACGTCGAACAGGTTTATGTGTCATCCAGTTCATTTCCACTACCTCTCCTGCGCCTACAGCGCCGTCCTGAGCGTTCCTCCTAATGCCTTTGCCCTGAAACAAATGAAAACACACCCAAGACACACAGTTACAGCATTTGTTATATCAATATACAGTTTTGCTTTTGGGCAGATATTAATTCCCATGCAGTCCAAACCGCTGCAAAACTATTTCTCAGAAGCAGCGCAAACAGAACTTATTGGAGGAATTACAAATAGTTACAGAGCTGAAATAATTAACTAGCTACACTAACAAACCCAATAAGGTCATATTTTTGCGATTTCTTATTAACTATGCTTACTTACTATTCTTCACAACATAACATGGCAAGACTGCACATTTTCAGTTAGCAGCCATAGAGATACACCAACAAAACATTAAATAATTGAGTGGAGATTTGTGTCCGACAACGCTCTCCTCCACCAGCATCAAAATAACCTTTTAGAGAATATATATTAAGAGAATGGTGTTCATGCTATTTTCATCCATGGCAGTCATTTCAAGTTATTTAAATGTTCTTAACGGCTTCAATTGAATTTGTTAGTTAAAGGTGGGGTAGGTAAGAATGGAGAAAGCAGCTCGAGTGCGCTAGAATTTGAAAATACACAACCGGGAAAAATCTGCCCCTTCCCTTCAGACTTCCTTACAGAGCCCCTCCTCCAACACACACGAACGCGCACAAGACCAATGAGGGCACGAGATAAGTTTGTGCCCAGATGGAAGGCTGACAGGCAGGTAGGCCGTCCAGTTATTTTAGCCGAGCCGGCTCAGATGATTGGCCGTGCTTTTTACAGCACTACGGCTTCCACAGATTAATTTTCTTTATGTATTTATTGTCAAATCATTTAATATATTCATTGCTATCGGGATGTTAAGAGCATTCCATGGAATATAACAAAGTGTTTCTGAAGTGAACTACCTACCCCACCTTTAACATCGACCTTTTTTTCTTCTGATGAATTTGACATTTAACAAACAATGATTAACTAAATTATCATAGAATAACAATCGCTGTCATACAGAAACACATTGTCTCCACAGTTCAGATGTATACAGATTCACTGACTTAAAGAAGACACACAGGGATGCAGATGCTGTGACTAAAATGTTGTCCTTAATAATTGAAACTGCTCATACAGCAGCATTATGCTTTGTTTGTTAGTATTTGTAATGAAGGATTTAGTTAATTACATTTCAGTCATTTTGTTCACACAAACATTTATTATCCACGGGTAAGGAAACATGTGACTGATTGTTACCTTGCCACTTGGCATGAAAGGATTGTGTTTCTTCGGTTTCTTGACTTTGGTCTAAAAAGAAAAAGAATAGTTTCAGTGTTACCATGAGGAAGATGCACATCATCACATTCTGGAATATTCCTTGCACAAAAATGTAACATTTGTTCCTGATAACTATGGTTAAAATAATCAAACCAGGAACTGTTCTTTTGTTTACCCTTAGATGCATAAGTGGGTCTTTTTTGACCCGGTGAGGTGGTTTTCTTGAAGTATCTTTGTAATTAAATAATGTCATCATTCCAGCTATTCCTCACAAAACATGTTTTGGATTTCATGCCATTCAAATTTTTAATTTACGTTCTATACATTTTAAGAAATTGTAGTTTTTGTATTTCTACCCCAAGCTTCCATTAGTGGGTCAAAAATGACCCGCATTCATTTCCTATGGGATCCTCTGGGAACCTTTGATTCGTATCACCTGCTGCTGTCAGGAATACATTCACTGTAGAACACACAGACTACATCACAAGTGACACCTCTAATAATAATAATACATTGTATTTGTATAGGGCTTTTCAAGGACTCAAAATCACTTTACAATATAAGGGAAGGTTAGGGTGGGGGGTATAGGATTATCAAACATGATCAACCAGCATGGATTGATGGGGGGTGGGCTATGATGAGTAGACAAGAGGAGAAGAGACGAGTTTTGAAAAGGGACTGGAATACTGTGAGGGTCTCAGAATAGTGGAGATCTCTGCATCAATATGTTCAAAACGTTGTTTATTTAATGTAAAAAAAAATGTCTAAAATTATAAATAGTGAAAAATTAAATATAAAATATTTCTAGTGTGAACCAAAATATAAATATAATACAAGTGATTTTTCTTAACCAAAATGACAAAAATGGCATAAAAACACATTATTCTAATACGGGTCCCTTTTGACCCACTTATGGAAGAGTGTAGGGTCCAGTCACTCTAAGGGCATCGAAGGGTTAAAGAATATTTCATTAAAGACATTAATTAAAATACCTCTGTTTTTTCCTTGCCCTCTTCATCTTTCGTTTCCTCTTTGGGTGAAGAATCATCTTCTCCATCGAGCCCTTCATCATCAGACTGAGCCTGAAGAAGAAAAAAAAAGTGTGAACTTAAAAATGAAATAAATGAGTAGCAAGGGGAAAAGCAACAGGGTGGCGTATAAACGTACTAATTAAAAAAACATTTTTCAAGTACATCAGCTTTGTGAAAATACATTTGAGGTAAGGGACTCAGTATAGTTTATTGGGTACCACTTTACAATAAGACTACTCAAGGATTCATAAAGGGTTTATAATTAGGTTATGAATTAGGTTTATAACACTTTATTAATCATTAAGAATAACCATTTATAAACCAGTTCTAACATATACATCAACACAGGCTCACTATTTGGCAAGATGACAAATGAAGCTCAGCGCAAGTTCAACCTGGAAGACCGTCTTTACTAACCCATTTACTATTTCTATGTTACTACTTTCTCTCCTCTCAATAAGTGATCGGGGGCGTCACTCCCCAGCTTAACCAATCAATTCGCTCTATTCTCACAAGCCTATCATAGCGCTCCGCTAAACCTTTTAAATCTGCTCTCCCCTCTGACAGCTGTCATTTCAGGTGACTCGACGCAACCCTCCTCAACCCCTTTTCACCTCCTGTCCCTCTGAATCCAGGGTCAAGCTCCTCCCCTTCAGACCGGACCTAACTATCCATTCACCACCACCAGTGTCTAGACCCCGGGGGGTTTCATCGGATCGGTTCTCCCCTCCCGAATGATACTCCCGCACAACGGGGCCTAATCGCCAAAACTCCATTACATTCATTTGTGCATTCCAGGCAATATAAATATGTATTCTCAAATCAAAACCGTCTCTCCTGATTGAAAGCCTTATATTGGCTACCGAGCTTACTTATTCATCAGCCAGCATCCTTGGTATCTGTTGTTCATCGAGTTGATTCCCCCCCCCCATCCATCTTGATGTTTCTTGGCATCTCTTTATGACCATTAATTTACGAGTTACTAACATGTATAGCTGCCAAAAGGGAGCCTTATTGTAGAGTGTAAAACACATTAATGAGTTACTACCATTTCTAATAAGGCTTAGCAGCACAGATACATGTGGGCTCACTATTTGGCAAGCAACCGGTCACAGTTGCCCTGTTTATCTCATGTCTTATAAAAGCTTATTAATGATTTATGAAGTGTTCACAACCTAATTAATAAATGAATTACAAACTATTCATAAACCCTTTATAAGGGTAGTCTTATTGTAAAGTGGTACCGTTTATTGTATAGATTTAAGTTAGTGCAACACATATACAAGTCCTTATGGCAGTATAGACTTTATATGAAAAGCAAATCAAAAATAAAGACCTTTGCTCCAGCACGCTGCATAAATGGATTATGGCGCCTAGGTTTTTTCACCTTGGCCTGTAAAGAAAAAGCCACAGTGATGTGAAGTAACATGAGAAGCACCAACTGGAAGAACCACATTTCACCACAGCCCGCAGACCTAATGTGTGCTACGGTTCAAAAAGACCTCTGTAACTAATGCCCCGGCCACACGAGGACAAAAACGGCTGTTTGCGTTACTGTTTAGTGTCATATAGACCATTCGGCCACACGAGGATGACCGCATACGGCACTAAACGACTGAGGAAACGATAACGGGTCCCAAGGTGGATAGAACGGCATACGCAACGCTCTGGGGGGTCAAACAGCTCCGTGTGTGCGCCCTATACGGTCATTTTCTGATAATGATTGCGCAATAGCCCCGCCTCTCCCCACCTCTGCTGCTCACCTCCGCGTACCCCGCGCCATTGCTGATGTGTTTCGCCACCAACAACAACAACAACAATGGCGGATCGCAGAGTTGCTAGCGTGCTCCGGACGCTACTGACCATGCTACAGTTCTTTGTGCAACATCTACAGCAGACTTACACATCCGGGGGGGATCTTACTCGCTGCTTTTGTGGATATGTACTGCAGCTTCAGCGATCATTTTCTGATAATGATTGCGCAATAGCCCCGCCTCTCCCCACCTCTGCTGCTCACCCCCGGGTCAAAGTAAACGGCACACTGAATTCAGATTATTTATCTTTCTCTCGATATGGACATAAACGCGAGTGAAGTCTAATCTGACAGGACGGAGACACCTCTCAAACTACCTAAACTAGTTATAAATATGTTTATTTTTACTGTCGGCCGGGTCACTCATTACTGGATCAGCTGCTGCATGAGACAGACACTGACGCTGTCCGAAGAGAGGGTGGAAAAAGAGAGGCTCCGTGTATTTTATTATTATATTATATAGAGTCATTATTCATTTGTTTTAAAGTTCAATAAATAACAAAGAAGACCTTTGACCGGCACTTTTATAATTTTGTCGGAAGGTTTAAACTTTAATACACGTTGACTGGCGAACAACTCTGCCCGGTTCCCTCGGCCCCCACCGCGGAGAATAAACAGAAGGGCAACCATGACAACCATGCTTCTTCGCTGCTTTTGTGGAGGAAGTTACAGCGCCACGTACAGGCTCCTGCATATGTACTGCAGCTTCTCCAGCGGTTGGAGCTAAACGGAGCGGTCTCGTGTGGGCAGACACTATCCGGATAACTATTGCGTGTGGACGGAAGCTTGTTTGCGATTGCGTTTGCGTTAATCCTATGCGTTTAGTCGTTTTCGTCCTCGTGTGGCCGGGGTCTAAGTCATGTGTCTGTTTCTTCCTCACACACACATGTAAGTATATATTTAGTTTACAGTAAATCAAACATAGCATGCAGTCAAGTACTCTGATGTAAACATGATCGTCTAGTCAATATCCCAAAGTTTCTTGCCAACTGTATCAGGCTGGGTTTAGGAGAAATTAAAACGGTAGGGTTGGGATTACATTGCCTCGTGACTGACGATAACCACAAGCTAACAATAGCTGGTGCCAGATGTTATTTGCATTGCACAAAAGAAAAGATAAAAAGGAAGCAGGAACTGAAACTTAAAAAAGGCACCTGCAGCAAACACTTTCTGTTGTTTCCCCCTGAATGTAGCAGCAATCTGGAGTTCATTACACATTCTCACAATTACATACGGTACATAGTACAGGTCATAATATAGGTTTCTGAGCTTCAGGACTAAGGATTAGGAACAGTGTGATGATGAAGAGATAAACTCACTGCTTTGCTTTCTTCCTCTCCCTCTCTGGCTCCTGCAGATCCATCCATGAGGCCTTCATCGTCTGATTGGCTCTGCCGGAAATTAAACTCATTACATTTGATTTAACTTACAGGAGGTTTCAGTAAAAAGTTTAGTTTAGTTTGAAAGAGGCTTGTGAAAACAAATACTATTGTTGGCCGCTGACAGCCAAAGTTTAAGACTAGAAATGACATTGTTCGGGGTTAGGGAGGAGTCACTTGAAACAGTTTTAGAATCATTATTTGTTTCCAGTCATGTTTTAGGACACACAAAAACAGTTAGAACTGCCGTTGATTTAAGGGTATGTACACTGAAGGTTTCAAGTTTTCTCTTCAAACTTATTCAAATCAAAAATCTTTTTATTTAGTTTCGACAATCAATAAGAAGAAGTAGAAGTGAGAATCTGATCTCTTCAAGTTTCATACAAGACATAACATCTGTCAACCACTGTAGATGAGTCTTCAAACTTATTCAAGTTGCATACTGGATTATGATTTGCTCCAAACCGCACACTGAGAACACTGGGAACATCAAAGTTGTGTCTTTCTGCTCCCAAACAATATCAATATCTTGTTCTGTGTACATGTCGGTACCTGATGGTTGCTCTTCTGCTTTTGTCTCGCAGCTGTTTTATTCAGTTCCTGAAATGAAACCAGAATAGTTTACTTAGGCTGCAGCCACACGAGGACAAAAACGGCCGTTTGCGTTACTGTTTAGTGTCATATAGACCATTCGGCCACACGAGGACGACCGCATACGGCACTAAACGACTGAGGAAACGATAACGGGTCCCAAGGTGGATAGAACGGCATACGCAACGCTCTGGGGGGTCAAACGGCTCCGTGTGTGCGCCCTATACGGTCATTTTCTGATAATGATTGCGCAATAGCCCCGCCTCTCCCCACCTCTGCTGCTCACCTCCGCGTACCCCTCGCCATTGCTGATGTGTTTCGCCACCAACAACAACAACAATGGCGGATCGCAGAGTTGCTATCGTGCTCCGGACGCTACTGACCATGCTACAGTTCTTTGTGCAACATCTACAGCAGACTTACACATCCGGGGGGGATCTTACTCGCTGCTTTTGTGGATATGTACTGCAGCTTCAGCGATCATTTTCTGATAATGATTGCGCAATAGCCCCGCCTCTCCCCACCTCTGCTGCTCACCCCCGGGTCAAAGTAAACTGCACACTGAATTCAGATTATTTATCTTTCTCTCGATATGGACATAAACGCGAGTGAAGTCTAATCTGACAGGACGGAGACACCTCTCAAACTACCTAAACTAGTTATAAATATGTTTATTTTTACTGTCGGCCGGGTCACTCATTACTGGATCAGCTGCTGCATGAGACAGACACTGACCTGTCCAAAGAGAGGGAGGAAAAAGAGAGGCTCCGTGTATTTTATTATTATATTATATAGATTCGTTATTCATTTGTTTTAAAGCTCAATAAATAACAAAGAAGACCTTTGACCGGCACTTTTATAATTTTGTCGGAAGGTTTAAACTTTAATACACGTTGACTGGCGAACAACTCTGCCCGGTTCCCTCGGCCCCCACCGCGGAGAATAAACAGAAGGGCAACCATGACAACCATGCTTCTTCTCTGCTTTTGTGGAGGAAGTTACAGCGTGACGTACAGGCTCATGCATATGTACTGCAGCTTCTCCAGCGGTTGGAGCTAAATGGAGCGGTCTCGTGTGGACAGACACTATCCGGATAACTATTGCGTGTGGACGGAAGCTTTTTTGCGATTGCGTTTGTGCTAATCCTATGCGTTTAGCCGTTTTCGTCCTCGTGTGGCCGGGGTCTAAACCACAGGAAGGAGACCACACACACACACACACACACACACACACACACACACACACACACACACACACACACACACACACACACACACACACACACACACACACACACACACACACACACACACACACACACACACACACACACACACACACACACACACAGCACACACACACACACACACACACACACACACACACACACACACACACACACACACACACACACACACACACACACACACACACACACACACACACACACACACACACACACACACACACACACACACACACACACACACACACACACACACACACACACACACACACACACACACACACACACACACACACCACACAACACACACACACACACACACACACACACACACACACACACACACACACACACACACACACACACACACACACACACACACACACACACACACACACACACACACACACACACACACACACACACACACACACACACACACACACACACACACACAGAATTGTCTGTCAGGGTGGAGCTGCAGCAAAGCTCCTGAAGGATCCTTTCACCTCCTCCTCAGGTCATTTCATCTCACACTTAATCCTTCATCAGATATATAACTCTGTCAGTCTGTTGATAGTCGATACACTCGGCCATGGTTTGAGTTTAATGACGTGGTCATTGTGTTGTGACAGGATAAGGAAAAGACTGAGCACTCAGGAGACTCAAATGCGAATACACCTACTGCAGAGAAGCCTAAAGCCAAGCAGGTGGGTTGTTACGGCGGAATAACTTCATCTCGCTGAGTTATTATTTATTCCCTGAACACTGAAGCCTTAAATACCTCCTCTGACAATCTGGCAGATCTGGAGATCATGTCCTTGTTGTCCTGTAGAGGACAACATATTTTTAAAACTGAGAGTGACACACTGTTCTTTCTTTGTAGAGCAAGGAAGGAACTCAAAGCACAATATGTAACCTTCAAGCTTGCTGCCTGCTTTACTGGATGGTCTTATTGGTTATAAAATAATGAAAGAAAGTGATTTAACTTGCGTTCTAAGAGATATATGAAATTCAAACTGTGGAAGCAGAAAGAAAGTACTGTACCTGATCGTCCTCATTTCCTTCGTCGTATATGGACGTCCTCTTCATTTCCTGTGGAGAGAGCACAATGTAGCAAACAGGATATCATAATGAATGTTTGCCCTTGGACCAAAAGCCACTGAGTTTACAAACCTCTTTAGAAGGTCTGGGTGGGACCGTTGGAGTTTCACTTCTTTCCTTTCTCTCTCGCTGGATCATGTTGCTTTTGACCTGACAAGGACACACACACACACACAGTGTCACACACAGTGTGGGGAGCAGGAGCACAGGCAGGCAGGATTTAAAGGGAGGTAAGACGATGACGAGGATGTGGTGGAGGTCCGGAGGAGGAGCGTGAGGAGGGACGTTTTTTTTGACTAAATGTGATCAGCTGTGTGTGTGTTTGTGTCTGTATATATATATATATATATATAAATATATATAAGTGTGTGTGTGTGTGTGTGTGTGTGTGTGTGTGTGTGTGTGGTCACTGATGACTCATGCAAACATTTGACTGACCGGTTTTGGCTTCTCTTCCCCTGGTTGCTCATGCTCCTGTGCGTCTTCTTCAGTGTTTTTCTAATAATAAAAAAACACATTAAATATTACATATTAAACTGGATCAGCCTAAATCAGATAACTCAAGGACCATACCAGATATTTTTTGTATGTTTAACCCTTTAACTACATACAAGGTACTGATTTTCAGATGTATTTTTTCCACTGTTTCAGGCAGCCATTGGTTTTCTATTTATTTCTGTATTGAATGGAAAGCAAACTGCGGAATTCGTAAACTTGGGACATCAAATCTGTATTTGTTTTTGCCAAAACTCCAAAGAACTGTTGTTTTTTTGTATTGAAGAAAAGTCAATGGAAAACGGTGATTGCCGGAGAAATAATACACCCTAAAATCTATTCAAAACATTTAATAAATTAAAGAATTGGGATGTAAAGTATATGTATCCTGTAGTAAATACGGTTCAACATACAAAATCAGTGGTAAGGTCCATTAAATCCACCATCATTTTCCCGTCAGTGACTCCCTGTCACCTAAAACCATCAGGATCAGGTCTATCTCCCTCCACACACCGCACCATGACCAAACACCACCAGCAGCTGCATAGTTACTTTATGTGTAGAGCGGAATATATTCAGTTTGGACATGACTCCAGCCTGAGAGTGAAGGACATCAACATTTAACATTTGGATCTGCTTTAGGCCGATAAATTGGCCAAAATCAGATTACAGCATTCAAGATATATATTAGTAACTGTGTATATGTCGATCAATCGATTTCTTAACTTTGAAATGTCCTGCTTTGTGTGAGTTAATTTTAAAGATCTTTGTTATCGTTGTAATTTTCTATTCAATGTTTCTTACTATAAAGTATAAAACATTGTAGGAATTCTTTAAATATTCATCATATGCTACCAAATGTAATTTTGTAGCTAATTTCTGCATTTATTAAATATAGTATAGCAGCATTAGCATTACTAGCCTTTTCTGTTAAAACCACGGTATGCTCAGAGGCTAACAGCTAACTGAGCTTCTAGTTTTAAATTAGGGCTGTGCAATTAATCGTATTTTAATCTCGATTACAATTTTGGCTTGCAACGATTACGAAAACAACGTAATCAAAATAACACGATTATTATTTTTATTAAAAAATAAATAAAATGTAATAATGATTTTTTTTAACTATTTTTTTTATGGTTTTCAGTTGAATTCTACTTAAAGTTCAGGGTAATCAACTGTTAAAAACATACTGTTCACATTTTTCTTTCAATAAATGGATGTTTTCAAAGTAAATGGATAATCGTTTTTAATAATCGTGTTGTCAATTATTGACCAAAATAATCATGATGTTTGCCATAATCGCACAGCCCTATTTTAAATTGTACATTTTATGACTACTGAAAATCTATTTTGAGGATATTGACCATACATGAACACTGCAAGCAAGTGAGCACAACAAGCTGATTACAGATATGTGAAGCTGTTCCCTCCCTGTGACCTTTACTAAAGGTAAGACATTCTCAACAAGCCCAGGCAAGTCAAGCTAAGTTCAACCGTGGGTAGAATGCTACTCGACCAAAGCCTTTCATACACCCATTGACACACAAGTGGTGGAAGAGCAAAACACTAGACCCCTGAACGCATCAGAGGACTGTGGTCTGTATCTGCACAAATGTGAATCTTCGTCTTGATAAATAACAGCTAAATAAAAAGTTGTTGCTTTTCTCCCCCCAATGAGGCAAGTGTCCGCTGAACAAAAATAACAAGTTAGAAAAAGTGTCAGTTTCAGTTTGCTAACTAACAGGAACAAGTGAATGTCAGAGCACCTGTTTGTGGCCTGAAGACTTCTCGCTGCTCGCAGGTGGATCCTCCTCATCTGAGCTCGACTGCTTTTCATTCTGTGGAAACAAGACAGAAGTAGTTATTTTAAGAAAACACATGAATGATGAAGACGGTACTCTCAAAGATAAAAGAAAGCACTACTAAAAGATTCCAATCCAAAATGTCCCTACTTTGTTTGCAGATCTAAAAGGATTCAGCTTCTCCATGGCCCCAGCAAATGTACTCTGATTATGAAACAAAACACAAAGATAGAGAAAAATAAACACAAAATAAAATAAGAACCACATCCAGTGAATTGCTGATAAAAACTTACAAATTAAACATTGAAAATTCTTACAAACCTGTTTGTGACTGGGCTGGCTCTCTTCAATGTCCAACATCTCCTCACTGTCAGAGCCGGATTCCTTCTCCTGCAGATTGAGCAAGTTTAGTCGATATAATATATAACTCAATATAAACAATGATAGTATTAGTGCGATTGTAACCAGCATCACATCGTATGGGGATTAATTGAAATTAAAAACAGACGTATATTATTTTTAAAGGTCCCATGTCATGCTTTTCCAGTTATTACCCGTCCCCTTGTGTGTTATGAAGGTTCTGCATGTAAACGTCTGCAAAGTCAAAAACCCTCAAAGTACACCCTAGGGAGTAAAACTCTAACACCTGTCTATGCTGCCCCAGAACGCCTCATTGGAGATTTCTCTTTTTCCATTGTTTTCTTCCTGGGTACAGTGACGTGCCCATACCCAAATGGACCCATTGGTCCAAATAGACCAATCCGTGGAGCCGTTACGTTAAGTCCGCGGAGCTTTTACGTTAAGTCTTCCTCACACACACACACACACACACACTCAATCCTTTCTCAGCAGCAGCTCCGCCGATTTCTCCTCCCTGAGAGGGCAGGACGCAGCGAGGCTGTGAGTCGGTATGTGAGCACACACACAAACCAGAGTTCCCGTTAGAATATTTCTTCGCCGGTCAACATGTCCGTTAAAGTTTAAATCTTCCGGACAAAATGAGAAAAGTGCCGGTCAAAGGTCTTTGTTATTTATTGAGCTTTAAAACAAATTGATATGATTCAATATTAAACTAATTATAGTAGATTAACTACATTATTCAAAAGTGAACAGTAACTTACAATAACACGGGAATAATAAACGAAGCGCTCTCCCTCTCCTGACAGCCCGTCAGTATCATGCAGCTCGCGGATCAGTGAGTGACCCGACAGTAAAACTAAACATATCTATAACTAGTTACGGTAGTAGTTTGAGAGGTCATTAAAATAGCTACGTGTGATATTCTAACCTGAAGTGTGTTTTGTCCGCTCACCGCTGATCATGCAGAGCTGCGTGTCGACTCGTCAGCAGCAGCTGATCTCTCTCTCCCGTCAGATTAGACTTCACTCGCGTTTATGTCCATATCGATCAGATCCAGCTAGTTCTAGCTAATGATGATAACTACCTGCTTATTAAAAGACACCTAAACAATAAGCGTCGCTATGCAACTGGGTGAGGCCACAAAGTATAGCGCAGCATTATGCATTTGTTTACATGCCCACCGGAACCCCGAGGCATTACCAACAGATCAACGCACAATCAACCCATCCAGGACATCTCTTTCTCCACATTACGTGTTAGACATTAGAATTGACTATTCATGTCTGTCACATAAGTGGTGCAAATTGCGCAACTGGTGTGGTATTGCGCTTAGCGGAAATTATTTTGAACGGACACTTTGACCGGAGAGATTTAGATTTGCCGGTCTTCAGCATATTTTACCGGTCGTAGTCCGGTAATTACCGGCTAACGGGAACTCTGACACAAACTCCCAGCCAGGCTGCGGGTGTGGGTTTCGCTGTCTCGCTTTAAGCTTTAATGAATGCGATGCTTTTAGTTTGGGGAAGTGTGATAGGGAATATGAACTGATGATGTGCAGAGTAAAGTAACCACTCCTTACCTGTTTGTCAGTGGAGAACGTGCTCTTCATCATCGCACTGAAACCGCTCTGAAAAAACAGATAGATACCTTAAAAAACAGACCAAAGCCTTAATCTTCATCTTAATGTCATAGATAAAAAATATAAAAAAACTGAGCCAATTGCAATATTCCAAAGCTGATTCTACCAAAAATAATAACTCAACGAGATGACGTTATTCCGCCGTAACAACCCACCTGCTTGGCTTTAGGCTTCTCTGCAGTAGATGTATTCTCATTTGAGTCTCCTGAGTGCTCAGTCTTTTCCTTATCCTGTCACACCACAATGACCACGTCAATAAGCTCAAAACATTATTAAAAACGATTATCCATTTACTTTGAAAACATCCATTTATTAAAAAAAAACCATTTGAACAGTATGTTTTTAACAGTTGATTACCCTGAACTTTAATTATAATTCAACTGAAAAACCAATAAAAAAATAGTTCAAAAAAATAATAATTACATTTTATTTATTTTTCAATAAAATAATACTTGTTTTATTTCGATTACGTTGTTTTTATAATCGTTGCAAGCCAAAATCGAGATTAAAATACGATGAATTGCACAGCCCTACTCATATCACTAACTGTGTATTCTGTTAAGTGCAAGTTGATCTCTTACCTTTGAAGGCTTCTCTATGAGACTGTCACTGCTGGCAGAGAGTTCACTATCCACGGTCAAATCCTCCTGAACAGAGGGATGAAGCATTCAGTCAGAATGTAACAACCAGGAGGACACATTTACTCAAGTGTTTGATTTCAAAGTGAAATATCCACGTGTAACAAAATGACTGCAAAATATTCCCTACCTTGAATATTTTTTGGATTGAAAAACCTTTTTATTGACAAACTTGACTTTTCTTACCTTAGACTGAGATCTGGCAACTTTCTTTCTGAACACTCCACTGAAGATTCCTCCTTTCTCCTGAAGAAAGAATAAAGCCAACATTCAATATGACGACATTTGTTGTTATTTTTCTTTCTTGCAGTGACTGCAGTTTTAACAATGCTCACTTTAGTGTTCTCTGAGAGATTGCTGTTGCTTCCCGAGAGCTCGCTGGCATCAGACAAATCATCCTGAAGGCAAGAAACACATTAATACATCTATATTAAACCTGTTCTTATGATTTATAGTAACAAGGTGTTGCAGCGAATAAGCTTCAGTACTACTCTCACCTGAGATGGTGTCCTCTTTCCTAAGGGCTTTGGTGGTTTTTTAAACAACCCACCAAACTTCCCTCCTGTCTCCTGGAGTAGAAAGGTCACATGGAAATGGTTCAAACGTTGGCCATCATGAAAAAAAGTATTCATCTGGTTTCTCAAAGCTCACCTTAGTGTTGCTGTTCACAGATAGACTGTCTTTGCTGCCTGACAGCTCGCTGGGTGCAGACAAATCCTCCTGAGAAGAAATATCATTACTAATTATTATTATCTCCAAAGAATGTACCTTAGCTGTAAATAAGACAAGTGAGGTGCTCACCTCAGATTGTGTCCTCGACCCAAAAGGCTTTGGCGATTTTCTAAACATCCCACTGAACATCCCTCCTGCCTCCTGAAGAACAAAGTCACATGGAAATGGTTTAAATGTTGCCCATAATGCAGTAATTTAGACTCTGATGTATGCAGGTTTATCTCACCTGTCACAATACACACACTTTCTTACTTCTTTGACTATAGAGTTCTACATGTTCCTCAAAGCTCACCTTAGTGTTGCTGTTCACAGACAGACTGTCTTTGCTTCCTGACAGCTCGCTGGGGGCAGACAAATCCTCCTGAAGGCAATAAAAACAATACAGATATATTCATAACTTGCTTTGCCTTTAACACAGGTAAAATACAAAAATGTAAAAGTATCACCTGGGATTCTGTCCTTGCTGCAGGAGGCTTTGGTGTTTTTTTAAACATCCCATTGAACACCCCTCCTGTCTCCTGGAGAACAAAATCACATATTAATGGTTTGTACATGTTTCGCTTGATGCAGTGATTTAGCAAACAGGCTTTATGTTCTGCCAAATGCTGACGCAGTCCTTACCTTAGTGTTGCTGTCTACAGACAGGTTTTCTTTGCTGCCTGACAGCTCGCTGGGTGCAGACAAATCCTCCTGAAACAAAGGTTACAAAAGTTGTTATCATCTCTTAAAATGTAACACAGTGGGAACATTTAGACCAGGGGTTCTCAAAGTGCGGCCCGCGGGCCAATGGCGGCCCTCGGAAATGTTTCTGGCGGCCCGCGATAGTTAATGTGACACGCTGAAATGCATGCGTTATATTTTAATCCTCCATGGTTGTATCTAGTAAGAATTAGAATGGAATTTAAGAATGGTAAAACTGCGCCCCCTGGGTTGTCATTCCTAAATTATGAATGACAGCTTGTGGAAAGTTTGCTAGACTACTGGTTGCATGGCAACTAGGCATCTCGCGAGTTGCGGTAATTGGTTAGTACAATAAAGAAAGGATTTGTTTTGGAATTATTTTGTGTTCCGTTTTTTCTTGGGCGGCCCTCAATCCAATATTGGGTACCTACATTGACCCTCACCCATAAAAACTTTGAGAACCCCTGATTTAGACGCACTGCTCTCACCTGAGATTGTGTCTTCGCTCCAGAAGGCTTTGGTGGTTTTTTAAACATCCCACTGAACATCCCTCCGCTCTCCTGGAGAAAGAAAAAGTCACATGATAATGGTTTAAAATTCCCCTTTAATGAAGAAATTAAGTATTTTTCTGGTTTCTCAAAGCTCACCTTAGTGTTGCTGTTCACAGACAGACTGTCTTTGTTGCCTGACAGCTCGCTGGATGCAGACAAATCCTCCTGAAGGCAATAAAACAATACAGATATATTCATAATTTGCTTTTAATTTAGCACAGGTAAAAATGGGAGTTATGAAATGCCACGCTCTCACCTGTGATTGTGCTGCAGAAGGCTTTGGTGATTTTTTAAACATCCCACTGAACACCCCTCCTGTCTCCTGGAGAAAATAAACCACATGCTAATTACCACACTCGTATATATATATTTTTGTTTTAACCTATGGATCTGTCAGATGGGCAGGCAGGGATTTAGTTTTTCTAACACTGGGCAGCAGTTCTGCCAAATAGCTGATGCATGCAAGTTCAATCTCCCGCTTCCAAACAGCCACAACCACAACAACAACAACAACAACACACCCTGCTAAAACTCTCCATCATATGAGGTGAGCTCTACACATCTGATGTAGCTTAACTGAGAATACCCATGCATTTGTCGATAGCTAACAATAAGGAAGCTCTAGATTTCAAATCATGTATTTTTGGGGAAATTCTTTGTTTTACTTTTAACATTTATAAGTGTATTATTTTGGATTTACTGTACATTTGTATTTATGGTGAATATTTTCTGCTAGGTAATAAGCTCATAGTAATTGTTCGAGCTATGATCTGACTTTTTTTTCAATATTTAGTTTGCATTTATTTCAGCCATTTTGAGTTTTTCAAAATGTTTGCATTCAAATCAGGAAATGAAACTCACCCTAGTTGTGGTGTTTTCAGACAGACTGTCGGTACTGGCTGTGAACTCATTGTCCAGAAGATCCTGAAAGACACAAAATGAACAGTCAGTATATGACGGACATGATAGTTGATAGTCGTATTTTCCAGATGAAATATCGCTGTGCGCAGGACGCATAATAGAAGATCTGGTTTCACCTGGGATGGCCTCCGGGCATGGCGTTTCAGGATCCCACCGAACACACCGGATTTTTCCTGAAGAGAAAAAGTCAGAAGTTTCCCAGACTTACATTTTATTTTAATTATTAGTTTTTTTTATTCTGCTATATAATTGTTCTGCTATATAATTGTGCAGCTGTCATCTCTGAAATAATGTACACTGGTTATTTTAATGAAATTCTTTATATTTGATTTGTCTTCTTGTGCTTTTGCTAGGGCTGTGCAATTAATCGTATTTTAATCTCGATTACGATTTTGACTTGCAACGATTACGAAAACAACGTAATCTAAATAAAACGATTATTATTTTTATATAAAAAAAGAAAGAAGAATGTAATTATTATTTTTCTAATTATATTTTTTTATTGGTTTTTCAGTTGAATTATACTTAAAGTTCAGGGTAATCAACTGTTAAAATCATATTGTTCAACATTTTTAATAAATCAATGTTTTCAAAGTAAATGGATAATCGTTTTTAATAATCGTGATATCAATTATTGACCAAAATAATCGTGATTATGATTTTTGTCCTAATCGCACAGCCCTAGCTTTTGTATTAAAATAAATTGGCTGTTGAGACTGACCTTAGCTGTGGTGTTTTCTGACAGACTGTCGTCAATGGCTGCAAACTTGTCTTCCAAAAGATCCTGAAACACACAAGACTACAATGAAACAACACCATTTTATATGTTGAGCCTTTAGCTGATGGGTGTATTTTTCCACTGTGCGCAGGGTGTGTAACAGAAGATTGTGTTTCACCTGTGAGGGCCTGCGGACATGTCCTGGTTTAGGAGATCTTTTCAGTTTCCCACCAAACACACCTGATTTCTCCTGAAGAGAAACGTGCAGCAAAAGGTTTGGTTTTACAAACTAAAAAAGGAGAACATTCTGGGTGTGGATACCAGAAACATGACGGAGCGGAGAGGAAACTCACCTTTGATGGCTTGTTGTCTGTTAAGCTGTCACTGCTGACGGACAGTTCAGGGTTTTGTACTGACAGGGAGACCTGTGGAAAATGGAAAATAATTTCACAACTAATTTTACAACGAATAAATTAATAATTTTGTCAACATTTATCACAAAAAAAAAAGCCTAGTGGCGATATATTTGTGTTGCTTTTGAACAACAGTCTAAACTTTATATTTAATATAAAGTGATATTAACAGAGAAAAACTGAATATTATTTATTTTTTAAATTGCTTTCACAATAACTAATTAAACCATATTTTTGTAATCTTTGTCAAATTGTTATATCAACCCAGTGTTAGTTATACTTTTTAAATAAGTAATAATATAAACAGCACAGTGCGTTCAATGAGGAGTCAACCAACCTGTGGCTGTTCCTCTTTGGCAGCCTTGTTGGTCTTCTTAAACATCCCTTTAAATACGCCTCCTTTCTCCTGAAATATGTAGGATTGTGCTTAAAAATAAATCACTTATTTGTAAAAACACAATTATATTTACTCAAAACTGAAATAAGGTTTGAAAATAAAAACAATACATAACAGGAAGGAACGGACCTTGGTGCTGCTGTCAGTCAGACTCTCGTCGCTCTTGGAAAGCTCACTGCTGACTGATAAACTGTCCTGTAAAGCAGCATGGAAACTATGTGAGATGATGCAGAATCAAATAGTGTGAATCCATAATAACAGTTTGTTTATTTCTGAATTTCACGACCTAATTATATTGCTTTTATAGTTAGATTAGGTACATGTGATGTCAGTTCTTGCTTTAAATAAAGTGAGTTAATACTACTTCATCACCTGTGCTTTGAGAGATGGTTCTGATGACTTGAGGGATTTCTTAAACATCCCACCGAATACCGCCACTTTTTCCTTCATGAGGAGGGAAGAAAGGTAGAAAAGGTGACTTCAAAAACATATTTATGCATGTAAAACATTCTGAACGGTTAAAAAAGCGTATCTCTGCTATGGTTTTGGAAAGTATGAGTAAGTAACAGAATCATTAACTGATATTTGAGAGTCAGTAGGATGAATCTGTCTCTCTTTAACTGGAAAAAATGCTGCCAATGTTCAGATAAAAAGGCTGTATTAACCCGTTTACATCTCACAGTCCAGCTTCACGTCCAGTTTTCAAGTCTGGACATTCATTTTATTTCAAACCTTTATTTAGACAGATAGGTCCCTTGAGATCATGGATCTCTTTTACAAGGGAGACCTGCATCAATTTAGTTCCACATGAAACATAAAAACAACATAAAAACAAACAATAGAGGACATCATATTTACATATTCACCAACACTTACAAACACCCATAGTGTCAGAAAGCATCTTGTGCAGACGTGCCTTAAAAACATTCAGAGAAATAAGATTGCTCAAATTCAATTTGGACTGTAGGCTGTTCCAAGCAAGTGGAGCTGCGCACATAAAAGCTGTCTTACCTAAAACAGTCCTTACTCTTGGTACATCTAACAAGACTACATCCTGCGATCTCAGACAATAGCTGCTTGCAACTTTCTGCTTTACCAGAGAACAGATGTAATACGGGAGTTTGCCCAACATAGCTTTATAAATAAAAGTGTACCAGTGACTGAGCCTCCGTACAGAGAGTGATGGTAAACCTGCCTTGGTATACAGGGTACAGTGATGTGTAAGCGCTTTACAATTTGTGACAAATCTCAGAGCACTGTGATACGCAGCATCCAATTTGCTCAGGTAATTGGCAGGTGCATTCATGTACAACAAATCACCATAGTCCAGCACAGGTCAAAAGGTGACAGTGACTAGCCTTTTCCTGGCCTCAAGCGAGAAACAGGGCTTGTTTCTGAAAAAGAAACCTAGCCTAACCCTTAGTTTTTTCAGCAGGTTATTAACATGAAGTTTAAAAGAGAGACAATCATCAAGCCAGATACCAAGGTATTTGTAACAGGCAACCACTTCAAGTTTTGTTCCTTGCGTAGTTACAATATTTAAAACAGGCTCTGGTGTCTTTTTAGCTTTTGAAAATAGCATTACCTTGGTTTTATCCACATTTAAAAGAAGCTTAAGTTCAGCAAGCTGAGTCTGAATAATGTTAAAAACAGCCTGTAATTTAACACCAGCCTCCTTAATGGAGGAACCTGCACAGTACATCACGGTATCATCAGCATAAAAATGTAAAGTAGCATCATCCACATTATCACCTACGCTGTTAATATATATGGAGAATAAAAGTGGTCCTAAAACAGAACCTTGGGGAACACCATTATAAATGTTTAACCACTCAGAAGACAGCCCATCAAAGTGAACACATTGGGACCTTTCAGAGAGGTAGTTCACAAACCAACCCACTGCATGGCTGGACATGCCTATACTGGCTAGCCTCTGCTTTAAAATGCGATGATCAACGGTGTCAAACGCTTTGGAAAGGTCAATAAACAGAGCTGCACAACTCTGCTTATTATCTAAAATACTCGTAATGTCATTTACCACTTTCATTGTGGCAGTGATGGTGCTGTGTTGCTTTCTGAAGCCTGACTGATGTCTAGACAGGATGTCATTTATACATAAAAACTCCTTTACCTGTTCACTCACTCGGCGTTCGAGCACCTTCTCCAGAACTGACAATTTTGGGATTGGCCTATAGTTATTTAAAATAGTTGCCTCCCCTCCTTTTAGTAAAGGCAAGATATAAGCTGACTTCCATACTTTTGGAATTGTATTTGTGCTGAGGGAGAGGTTAAAAAGAGTAGTGAGAGGTGGAGCAATAAAATCTGCAGCTAACTTTAAAAAGAAAGGTTCTAAGTTATCCGGGCCAGCCGGTTTCCGAGGATCTAACTCGGATAATGCTTCATGAACATTACCAATAGTTAAAGGAGTAAAACTGAAAGGGTTTTCCAGACCACATTGTTCAAGGATTGGAGCGTTCACAGAAGCAGAAGTACAGTCAGTGACAGAATCAAACAGAGAACCACAGGACACAAAATGCTTATTAAAGCAATTTAACATAGTAGCCCTGTCTGATATAGTGCCAGATTCTGTGGTAAGGCATGGAGGTAGCTCATTTGGAATATCACCAGTGGAAATCGATTTTATGGCTTTCCAAAATTTCCTAGGATTAATCAGGTTTTCTGTGGTAACTGACAGATAGTACTTTGATTTAGCACTTTTTATTTGAGATGTGAAGCTATTTCTTAGCTGCCTAAAGCGTAGCCATTCTACCTCTGAGCCTGATTTCCTAGCCTTAGCCCAAGCATTATTTCTCTCATGAAGTAGACTGGACAGCTCAGCAGAAAACCAGGGATTGTTTCGTCCCTTCACTCTAAATTTACACAGAGGTGCATGTCTATCTATAATTTTCATAAAACCAAGATAAAAAATAAGACCATGCAGTTTCTACATCCGCACACAGATTGATTTAACCCCAATCAAAATCAAACAGATCGTGTAAAAAACCCTGCTCCACAAAGTGTTTTTTGTCTCTCTTTGTGATGATATGTGGTTTCACTTTTTGGACCTTAGTGTCCCTAATTGTGGCTACAACACAGTGGTCACTCACATCATTAGCAAATACTCCCACAGATGAGTATTTATGTGGAACATTAGTTAAAATTAGATCAATTAAGGAGGATTTATTTGGGGACTTAATATTTGGGCGAGTAGGACTGTCTATAATCTGGTGAAGCTGGTTTCATGTCTGCACTTGAAAAGCTTGATGACAGTAAATAAAGGGTGATTGTTATGTTTCCTGCTCTGGGAAAACTTCTCATATCAGATTGTTTTTATTTTATGTACAGCACTTTGGCTCGACCAAAAATCATTTATAAATGTTCTATATAAATAAAACTTGATTTGGATTTGATTTTCCTGTTTAACAATCACATAAAAAAAGCAAACATGACAACATTAACACATTCAAACAAAGGACTTAAAAAGTTAGAGATCTGGATTCAAGCTTTAAAGTCTTTACATTTATATTAACTGAACAGTTTTGGACCATAGACACATACCCCTTTATATACATACATGACAGTATTATTGAGTGCTCAGGACTCTTTCTCTTAAGTTAACTTGGCTACAAGTAAAAGTACTGCATTTAAAATATTGCATAGCACCAGTAGTCATTATGTAAACTGGATCATACCAGAATAATGTCAATTATATTATTGGATTACTCAGTAAGTGATGTGTAAACACAGGCTATGTTTCAGCTGGAAAAGGTTGGTCTAATATTAGCTACTTGCTTGTTCCACAACAACATGTCAGAATATGCTGTCAAATATTGTATGATTGATCTGAATCTGCAACTAGTAAAAGTACAATATAGGCTTCCAATTTGTAGTGGAGTAGAGATATAAAGTGGCATCACATGGAAAAAGTAGAGACTAAAGTAGGCTAGATGTCACACCAAACTAAGAGTATAAATGTAGCATTAGCCTACATTCCCACACGGCTGTTTACATAGCCTACTCATGGACTGCACTGCGTGGACAGTTTCAGTCACACAGATAGAGGTCAGGTCGATAAAATCAACTAAAACATGGCTGTTGACTCTCACAACTAATATAACAACTCAGCTAAACGTAAAAGACAAACGTTATCAAGCTAAAGCACTACATTAAAAACAAAACATCAAACGTGACTCACAACTACGCCTCCTCCCCTTTCACACTCCAGATCCAGGTCATCGTATCGATCCTGTCAAACAGCAGAGACATGTCCAACGGTTATTCAAACCTAACGTCACATTAACGGACATTTTCAACAGTTTGCCGGGAGAAACTTGACAGAAAGACGGACTTTAACCGCTTTTAAAAGAAGAGTTTAAACGTTAACTCACCATTGAAGCGGCTCCAACTCTGCCTTTGTTTTCCCGGTGATTTATCGATGTTGGTATTGATTTAAATGATTCAGTCCTCGGTCACAGTTAGCTGGTGCTGCCCGTCCCGGCGTTCGGCTGTTTTCACTCAGCCGCTTTCCTCCCTCCGCAGGGAAAATAACAATACAAAATAAAGAGGCTGGAGATCACAGACTTCCCTCTGATCCTTGTGACTTGTGTTTTCATAAAGCAGACATTGCTGAAACTGGCAGATCCAGTTTTACCTGTCTTGCCTTTCAGGTGAGGGCGTGTCTGTCTCACCTGGGAAGGTGTCATCAGCCTGATGCTGCTTTCAGGTGCTGCTCGGAAAATTATATTTCCAACTTCCCCAAGGCTAATGAAAATGTCCCGCCCTGCTGACTTGCTGTGTTGGAATACATATTTATTTAAAAATAACCTACATTTAAGCAGTGTTTCAATAAGCATTTCCATGTTATGCTATATACATTACTTCTAGCTTTCAATGTTTCAGAGGCTAATATAATAGAGGCTAGTATTTTGTACTAACTAAACTACAATAAATAAACACCCACTTTCTTAGTTACTTTGTATAAAATACGTGATATGCCAACAAGATATGACGCATGGCTGCACTACAAAACACAGTATTTTAGACAGAGCTGGGAGAAGTACTCAGATCTTGTACTTGAGCAAAAATAGAAGCACCAGAGTGTAGGAATACTCTGTTACAAATCAAAGTCCTGGGTTCAAAATGTTACTCGAGTAAAAGTACAATAGTATTAGTAAAAATAGTCATTCTGAAGATTGGTCTATTTCAGAATAATATATATGATATGTTGTATACAATTATTGATGCATTAAAGTGTTATCAAAGCTGATAAAGGTGCAGCTAGTTTTAATGACTTTGTATACTGCAGTCTGATTTAAGTGTTGATTATATTTCACATTATTAATCTAAATCGGTGTAAGTAACTAAAGGTATTAAATAAATGTAGTGGAGTAGAAGTACAAAGTAGTATAACATGGAAATACTCAAGTAAAGTACAAGTACCTCAACATTTTACAAAGAAGTAAAGTACTTGAAATGTTTAAGTACAAAAGTATTGCACCAACATAAAAAAAAAACTTAAATAAAATATACTGCCAAATGTGTATGCGATAAATAGTATCCCATTAAGCTTCACATTTGTATTAATTAAATGGCAAAAACATACATATTCAGTGTGCAGCAGTGGGAAAAGCTTTATTTACTTAACATTTTTATTGCACTAAATGTGACACATCGTCAATAAAACAGTAGCAATGCAGATAACAGAGCTGTAAAAGCATTATCTGATAAGCCGTGTTTACATGTCTGCCATCGATGTCTCAGCTGAACTCGGTCCCTTGGAGAGTGCAGAGTTTTGGTTTAATCTCCTTTTACATTCCACGATTTACACACAGTCTGACAATAACATGTGTGTCACCACAACTTTTTTGTTTAATAGAACAACTCTGTAAATCGTTTTTAACCGATAAAACAATTTGTACATTCAATTTATCATCAAAGAAAATATATTTTTCATTTTTCTGTGTTTCATATCCCACATTCCTATTTTTAACAATTAAACAAACAATAATTAATGGAACTTTCACAAAATGATACCTGACAAATACCTTTAAGGCTTTTTTCTTTTTGCTACATTTGCAAGCTTTTTCCCCCCATCTAATTTAAAGGCACATGTTAACATATCTTTGCAACTATTACATAGATGCAGATCCCTGTATGTGATATAAATGACCCTATAAAGGATAAATAAAGTATTCCAATAATGATTTAACCTTTATATATTGCACAATCAACTTCATTAAAGCAAAGAGTAGGCAAAACATTCCCAAACAATCATTGGTTAGTGCTCTAGCATGGCAGTAGTTTTCTTAAATGCAGCATATGACATCTTGATTATTATTCCTTCCACGAGAGGAAGTAGAGTTTTCCCTGTCCGTCACCACAAACCATTTCAGTGGGTTTCTCAGGGTTCAACTCCAAGTGCAGGACCGGACCTCCACACACAAACATACCCACCTAGAGGGAGAGAGAGAACGGCAGCAGAAAGTTAATATTTATTTGAAGACAGTTTAAAATAATCTAAGTAAAAAATGTTACCATTTTATGCAGATTTAAGACTTTTTATTGGTATTTGGATGTTTTATTATAACTGTAGACAAAGGCCGCCCTTTTTATATTACTTTATTCTCTTTAGATATTTATATAGTAATTCTTTCAAATGTATGTTTGTTTACTTTTACTATGCTTATTTGTATGCAGCCACACCTTTAATATTTAAACACCAGATGTATTGTAATTGAAAACCTCCTGAGCAAACAATCAGATTCTGATTCAGTCTTCGTGCTGTAGCTTCATATTTAACAAGGCAAGGCAAGGCAAGGCAAGGCAAGGCAAGTTTATTTATATAGCACTTTTCAACACAAGGCAATTCAAAGTGCTTTACAAAAAATGAAAGAGATTAAGACACACAATTAACACACGAATATGAGAGTGGTATCAATCCTCTCGTCCAAATATTCTCCTCAGTGTGAACTATCTTGTTTCCATAATTGTCAAACTGTTCTTTAACCCTCTGACGTACCTGTTTCTTGGTGTTTCTGTCCCACAGCTTCACCGTCCGGTCGTAGGAGGCTGAGATGATGCTGCAGTCAGTGAGTTTCAACACACTGATCCTGTCACTGTGGGCCTGGAGATAAAACATCCACATTAACAACAATACAAAGTGATGTCACCGCCAATAATGTCTGATGTTTGCTTTATTTCCTGGCCTGATTGTGCTTTTTCCAAACAACACATCGTCTGGTTATTGGCAATCATGCTTTTTTATTCTTGTAGTTAACTAAGATTTAAATTAGGGGTAATGTCACCCTTGCGTCTTCCCCTTTCAATGCTGTACCATACAATAAAGGCACTCTCTGGCCCAAAAAACATCTTAAAAGATAAAAAAATAAGGGCAGTTTATAGTTGAAGTAGTGAGGAATCTTTGAATACAAATCTTAATCAACAATTCTGATAAGATTTTAACAATCTATTGATTAAAAATGCCAAGAGAATTGATGTTTGTAGTTTTGCAATTGTAGGGATTTGTGGCCTTTCTATGTTGTTTTTTTACATTACATTACATTTAGCTGACGCTTTTATCCAAAGCGACTTACAATAAGTACATTCGACCAGGAAGACACAACCTTGAAGAAAACAGAATCATATAAGTACATCAGGTTTCATAGAGCCAAACATTTCAAGTGCTACTCAACTGGCTTTAGATAAGCCAGTCCTTTATTAGTATATAAGTGCTTTGTTAATAGTTCTATCGCTCGAAGTGGAGTCGAAAGAGATGAGAGTTTTTAATGGTACATTAAATACGTTTGGGGTTTTGAATTAATGTTCGATTAAACAAGACTCTGTAGTTGCCATTTCGGGCTCAAGGAATTTGTGATAAATCTTTTTCACTATTTTGTGACGAGTCAATGATGATCACTAATCAAACAATGTTGCAGTCATTGTTGAAAGTAGTTGAAATAGCTCACTGAAAACTAGATGTACAAATTGACATACTGTAACTATAATTTCTTTAATAAAGCGAATGGTGTGTTTCTTTGTGTGCTACAGAGTTGAGCTCTTACAGGTTTTCTGCTGCTCCATGAGGAACCCTCTGAAGTCTGGTTGAACCACATGTTGCCTTTTATGTCCCCACACACGACCAAATCTGAAAACATATAGAGCATCATATAAACTGACATATTTAAAATCTTGCCAGTACAAATATAAAATAGAAAGATGCTTGATGTAAAAGTAGGAGTGAGTGTATCAGCGGCAGCGGAAACAGTATTTAAAGTAGATGTTAGAACCTTTGTCCAAAGTTCCAGCCGTGATCTGGCACCCCTTCTTCTCCTCTTCATCTGTGAATAGATCCATGGTGCCTAAAGATGGGCAAAAAGAATACTGGGGGCCCATGGCGAACTGAGGAAAGAGAGGACATCAATCAATATTTTCTATGAATGAAACATGTGGTACTCAGAGATTGGCACACATACAGTGGGGCAAAACAGTATTTAGTCAGCCACCAATTGTGCAAGTTCTCCCACTTAAAAAGATGAGAGGCCTGTAATTTTCATCCTAGGTACACTTCAACTATGAGAGACAGAATGGGGGGAAAGAATCCAGGAAATCACATTGTAGGATTTTTAATGAATTAATTGGTAAATTCCTCGGTAAAATAAGTATTTGGTCACCTACAAACAAACAAGATTTCTGGCTCTCACAGACCTGTAACTTCTTCTTTAAGAGCCTCCTCTGTCCTCCACTCGTTAACTGTATTAATGGCACCTGTTTGAACTCGTTATCAGTATAAAAGACACCTGTCCACAACCTCAAACAGTCACACTCCAAACTCCACTATGGGCAAGACCAAAGAGCTGTCAAAGGACACCAGAAACAAAATTGTAGACCTGCACCAGGCTGGGAAGACTGAATCCGCAATAGGTAAGCAGCTTGGTGTGAAGAAATCAACTGTGGGAGCAATTATTAGAAAATGGAAGACATACAAGACCACTGATAATCTCCCTCGATCTGGGGCTCCACGCAAGATCTCACCCCGTGGGGTCAAAATGATCACAAGAACGGTGAGCAAAAATCCCAGAACCACACGGGAGGACCGTCAATGACCTGCAGAGAGCTGGGACCAAAGTAACAAAGGCTACCATCAGTAACACACTACGCCGCCAGGGACTCAAATCCTGCAGTGCCAGACGTGTCCCCCTGCTTAAGCCAGTACATGTCCAGGCCCGTCTGAAGTTTGCTAGAGAGCATTTAGATGATCCAGAAGAGGATTGGGAGAATGTCATATGGTCAGATGAAACCAAAATAGAACTTTTTGGTAAAAACTCAACTAGACGTGTTTGGAGGAGAAAGAATGCTGAGTTGCATCCAAAGAACACCATACCTACTGTGAAACATGGGGGTGGAAACATCATGCTTTGGGGCTGTTTTTCTGCAAAGGGACCAGGACGACTGATCCGTGTAAAGGAAAGAATGAATGGGGCCATGTATCGTGAGATTTTGAGTGACAACCTCCTTCCATCAGCAAGGGCATTGAAGATGAAACGTGGCTGGGTCTTTCAGCATGACAATGATCCCAAACACACCGCCCGGGCTACGAAGGAGTGGCTTCGTAAGAAGCATTTCAAGGTCCTGGAGTGGCCTAGCCAGTCTCCAGATCTCA